AAACTTATCCTGCAGGTCTGTTATGGATTTCTGAAGGATCTTAAGATCACTAGTGTTACGGGCTACGTTATCAATTAGTTCTTCCATTAAGTTTGGTACTATAACTCTCGGTGTATCGATCGATCTTAGTACAAATTCATCGTCAGGACTAATGTTTCTAGTGACCTGCTGACTATTTGATGCTAGTCTCTTAACAGTACTAACTCGTTTAATAACTTTGACCATTATAAAGGTAAAGATTATAAAAATTTCTCAAAAATTGACAAAAGTGTGTGAAATACTGTTATATTATCTAAGTAGATAAAAACAACAATAGACAGGTATAAATGTATAAAATACAAACTAAAAATAGACCACTATCAAACGAGTTAACTCTGATAATTATAAACCACAAAACTAAGGACTTCTCTATAGTTCTTTTGTGATAGATTGCTCTTTATGAACACGAATCTGACTGGATCCAAACAGTATTCCGGAGTTGATAAATTTGGATATTTAGCTACCGGAGGTGCAACCAATATCAGCTATAATTATATAGTAGTCAAATATAGACCACGATATTCCAGAATTCGAAAAATTATTTCCACGTTATATGGCGTCGACAGGTGCATGATTCCTCGCCAGTTCTTGCAGAGAGAGGCGTAATTCACCCTTCTTTGGTAGTTTCGTGAGGTAACCTTTCCTCCAGTCAGTAGGCACCTTTCCCTCCTTCCAGATCTTTTGCAATAATGGAGTCAGCATGTCTGCTGTAGTCTCTGGGTCCGCTTTCAGTGAGTGCTTTAGGGGGTATTCCATCTGGTCCGGCTGCTTTTCCAGCATTCGGAAACTTGATTGCATTCAAGAATTCAGCTCTCGTTGGGGGATTGGTGTCAACTTGCAGTTATGTGCGCACTGTTGTTGGTATTTCTGGATGGGTTGCAGGTGATGGTCAGTACAAGAGTCCTTTGAAGTGATCCGCCCATTGTTTAATCTGTTTTTCTTCCTTGGTAATTGGGTTCCCTTGTCTGTCTTTTATAGGTTTCGCTTGTGTTGATCTCTTCCCGGATAGAGATTTGGTTATCTGATATAGTGTCCTCAGGTCCCTTTCGCTTGCTGCCTTTCCAGCTTCAGTGGACAGAACTGTCTTTTGTCCTTCCTAGCACTCTTCTTCACTTCTTTGTCCAGTGCTGTGTAAGTTAAGTCCAGCGTCTCTTTCTCTTGTCCGTCTTTGCATTGAATCATTTCCTTTTTCACCATTCTTCTCTCCTCTGTTAGCTTCCTAGTGTCTATTTACAGCCATTCGTTCTCTTACCTCTTCTTGCTTCCTGAAACCGTTGAACACGTTTCGTTGAAAATCACCTTCAGAGAGTTCCAATGGTCTTCCACGCATGATTCCTCAGTAATGTCACGCAGTGTTTCCTGCTTTGCTCTGACAGTTGCAGTGAAAGTGTCTTTTGTGGTTGTATCCTTCAGTAATTGAGTGTTGAACTTGCATTGTTGCCTATCCCCAGCTATCCTCGAGGCTTTTAGCTTCACCTTGAAAGTCCCTTCTACTAGATAGTGGTCTGAACCCACATCTGCTCCTCTTTTTGATCTTGTGTCCAGTAGGCTCCGTCTCCACTTCTTTGAAACTGAAATGGAGTCTATCTGGTACCTTAACCTTTCCTAGATTATTGGCTCGCTAGTCTTTGAGCCGGTCCCAAGACCGGATAAAGAGGGAGGTTTGGGGCGTTGTGCTAGCAACTCTACCCCGGAAACTTAGCTAAATGGCTACAGGAACTTTAACGCATCATCTACACATCCTAAACACATTTTAGGAGTCAGTATGCTTGAAATGTTGTTATCTTCGAATCTGTTCATGAAAAGATCAGGGGACATCTCCACTTCCTTGAGATTGAGATGATGTCTATCTGGCTTTTGGTGTGTCCATTCGGTGAAATCCATGTCGCCTTGTGTATATCCTTGTGTTTGAACACACTGCCACCAATCACGAAATCATTGAAGGCGCAGAAGTTTTAGAAGAGTTCACCACTGTCGTTCATCTCACCAAGGGCTTCGCGACCCATAATGAGTTCCCTTCCTGTATTGTCTCCTCCCAGCTTCGCATTCACATCACCCATCAGGATTTTGATATCGCCAATTGGGGCATTTTCCATTACTAGCTGTAGTCGTCTGTAGAAAGTCTCCTTCTCTTGTTCTGAGACGTTTGTAGGTGCATAGCATTGAATGATTATAACCTTCCTTCCTGTGGAGTTGAACCTGGCTGTCACTATCCTGGAGGAGATTGGTTCCCACTGCACGAGAGCTTTTACTGCTGTGGGTGACATCATGATGGCCACTCCCTCGGTGATTGTCCTCCGGGTGGCCGGAATAGATTATTGTCTCCCCAGCTGATAGATGGTACCTTCCACATCCGTTCTATCTGGTCTCGTAGATTCCCAACACTTCTGTTCTACATCTTCTCATTTCTGCGGCTATCTGGGCATCCTTTCCAGTTTCGTACATTGTACAAACATTCCACATACCCGTCCTTATTTTTGCTTTCATCGAAAGAAGGCACATTGGTTGACTGGCTTCCCGAAGGCTTTCTCCAGCCTGCATCATTTAACTTCCCCGATTCCAACGAAAAATAAGGTTATTGTTTATATTTTTAATATATTTGTGCGTTGCAGTTTCTGTAACGATTTGGTTAAGTTTTGGGGGTGGAGTTGCTGGCACCACGCCCCAGCCCTCCCTCTTTATCCGGTCTTGGGATCGGCTTGGAAATTGGCGAGCTAGTAATCTAGGCGAGGTTAATAACTTATTGTAGTGCTGAGAAACGGTTGGATCTTTAGACACGTTTGCTTGACTAAAGGAGGTGACTTTAAAGGTGAAAGTATAGTTGATAAGAAAGTGTACGAAATGACAAGTGCGGATAGTCGATATCTTCAGCCTAAAATCCTGTTGAAGTAATGCAGGTGAATACTATCATACGACATTCCTCTTTTGTGAAGTATTACATCCAGCTGGGTACTTGCCATGATAGTGAAAAACCACCATATAACTGCATTTGATTTGGCGTAATGCAACTTGAAAATTTAATGACGCCCGATGACTGGTACCAAAAGATATTGCCTTTATGAGAATATATTATTATTAGTAGTATATCTAGAAGTAGTAGTGCGTCGGTGGCACAGTGGTTAGGAGTCTCGCCAACCATGCAAATGGTCCGGGGTAAGATCCCCGCCGACGCACACCTGATATCTATGGTTGGCCTGCAAAATTTGGGCTACTGATATCACATGCTGAAAATTCCTTAACTGCACCGAAAATTCAGTGTGGAATCAAGCTGCAATCAAAAATAAAAAATAATTATATCTCAGAATGTGTTATCATACTGCATGAAATCACTGTGATGCGGTACTTCTTAAGATGTATTGCTTCGCTTTGAAAATTTCTTGCCATCCGAGAAAGAAAGCGGTGAACTTTTCATCAGTCAGTAACAACAAGTAAATTACTTCTGCAGTTTAGAAAGTTCACAGAGAATAAAATTTCTAGCTCATATGTGTTATAATAAACTTAAGGCTGGTCTCAAGGCTCTATCCTAGGTTCACTGATTTTTTTGATTTTTATCAATGATCCACCATGCCGTTTAAGCTGTTGTACTCCTCTATACGCGGAGGACGTAAAGATATGGAGGGCTATGAAGTGTTCGGAAGACTCGGATAGGCTTCAGGCAGATCTGAAGTTTCTGGAAGACTTGGCGGTGGTTGATGGTATTGCTTTCAACCTGACAAAATACAAGATAATGAAATTACAAACCTGTAGACTGCAGAATGCAAGCTACGCCCTTGAGCAATGAAAGCACGTTGGAGCGCGACTTAGGTCTAATTCTAACAGAAAAACTGCACACAAGCGTAAATTACACGGGGGACTTAGTGAGGGCATATGCAGTCATACACTTAACACACGGACAGGTGCAATTACTCCTGAGCTCTTTGTAAAGTTGTACAAAACATACATCAGATCACACCTTGAAGTGCATAGTATTATTGCACCCGATTACTTAGAAGAAATACAAAACTCTTGGAAAGAGTTCTAAGACGGATGAAAAAAGAAGCTGTTAGTCTCCGAAACAAGCCGTCTGATGAAAAGCTAAAGAAATTCAGCCTATTCACAATTAGGTACCGTCGGCTTAGGGGGATTGCTGCCCAGAAGATAAACAATGACCAGAATCACCCAAATAGAGGTATTCTGCCATTGAGTTTCCTCGTGGAAATCCCAGAAGGATAGCTCACCTGAAGGCAAGGAACAGTATGCGTTCCCACTTCTCTTCAGTGTGGGTTTTCCGTCTCTGGAACTCATAACCGGCAGATGCAGCTATGGCACCGTCTATGCACGCCTTTAAGCGAAGGATGGACAATCATGCAGAGACACATGGACTGCATCCATATGGCCCATCCATGGGCCATTCATCGTTTTGTTCCTTTACATTGTCTCCCTTTTTACTTTCCTGACTGCTCCAACTACCAAACTTATGCTTATTATTATTATTGATAATGTATTTTGGTCTGAATAGCCTGCACTAATTATATCTATCATTATTATTATCTCTTCTTTTGACGACGATACTGGAGGACTAACTGGTGAAAGCATCAACTCTGTTCACAGTAGCAACAAATTCGTAACACGCCGCATACTACAAACAACATTTAATCAATCCCAGCACTACTCCCATAGGAGTCAACCAAATCTACGACAGTCGAGTGGCTGGACGAAAAACACTGAGGTTTACCGAAGACCGGGAACCTTTACTTTACAACCAAGAAGCGGGAAAAAAAGAATCAAATCAGTTTATACTAGCTCGTAAAAACAATACTGGATATTTTACCACGAGTTAAATTTTATGACTTTTGTTTGTATGAAGTACATATTTTTAATAGTTAGTTTACCTAGCTCCAGCAAATTTTCAAATACGCGTATTTATTAGCGTTTTTACTTACTTCTAATAAATTTACCAGCTAGATTCATTAATAAGAAATATGCAGGTAAAAAGTAAATTATCTAGGTAATAACTCTTAAGGCCGGCCCATCTTCTGATCATGAAGATGTAAAAGTACTGGAGTCAAACCTTAAAACAAAACATATGCACAAGTCTCGTCAGGTGAGTGCTGGGAGTTCAAACATCTCAAACCATTTTTGTGAACAGATAGATGACGGGATACCGAAAGAACCTGAGGTATCAGGTGTAGCTGAACCTAGTACTTTGAAACCACCTATGGTTAAAAAGAGAAAGAAGAAAGCAAGGAAGCTACCAAATTTGGACTCAGGTGATGGTGATATGAAAAAAATGAAAGACGGTTGGTTATATAAGTATCCTATTTCATAGTTTGATTGAGTATACAGCTTAAGTTTGAATGTTGTTTTAGAATAACGTTTTCACAGCTTTTCATCCAAAAATCAGTTTCCATAATACCGTTTTTTGATGAAATGACGACTGAATTTGTTCTTAAACTTAGGATATTTCATCAGAAATTATGTACAAGGTGCATTTCCTTAAGTTTTATGTCTTGGCTAGGTATTCATTATGCATGGAAGGGTGCGGCCCCGCGAAAGTTGGCATTACAATAATTGTTATGGTTGCACTTTGTCTTTTAAAAGTCATTTTACCCATCTATGGAAACCGAAATATATTTAGAGAAGTAACCTTCTACTTTAATGAATGCCAATATGATTGTAAGACACGTAACACACATATTAGTATCACTTTTACCGAACCGAGGGGCATAATTGGTTAACCAATGATCCTGCACACATTCCATGCCTAAGGGTTGGCTGACCGGCCCAGTATACCTGTAAACCCCATCTATGAGTATCTAATGCGGCTTGAGCCGTAGGACACTGATTTTATTGAATTTTTACTATTGCAATACTAAAATTTATTACTAGACACATGGAGGGAGTCAGAATGTCTCGTTTGAAAATCAGTATATAGGTTATTCAACAGAGTTCACTACCATTATTAAACAGTCAGCCCTGAAGGACAGGCAAATTGTAATGAATAAACCGTGAAATTCTCCAGACAACAGGACTATCAGTCTAACTTTCAGTTGTAAAAAATATGCAGGAAGAACAGTTGAAGAGGCTGTAACAATACACTTGTAAGGCAACATATATCTGGTTGATGTCAGATACAGTCTTTCAAAGAAACCTAGTTAACTGAGAAACTTTTCACCAGTTATAAAACGTTTGATGAAATCTAAGGGAAACAGGAAGCCTTTAAGATCACTTAAATTGGTTTTGAGAAGCTCTTTGCGCCAGATTCTCTAAAACTTTGGGGCCTGAAATTACTGTCAGTTTAATCAACTGAACAGAGGATTTCTGTGTCTCTAAAAGGCCGTCATAAAGAGTCAACTCCATAAACTGTCTTTAAATGATGATAGATAAAGAAGTGTTTTAGGTTGCCATGGTTTTTTCATATTTGAGTTAACTTTCAAAAGTTGTGAAAGTTTTAGTGGTTCTATTTGTTGTAAGTAGGCATATATAACTAGAGAAAAATAAGTGGCATTATATACCCACTGTTCTAATAGATGCGTTTTAGTTTTAACCTATATCTTTGTTTAATATGTTTAACTGTTTATAAGGGTTATGAACAGAGTGCTTACTACTCTACTCTCTGGCTAGATTTGTACCTGTAGAGCTATGTAAAGCGTTGAGTTTTGTCAGAAAAGTTACTGAAATGGTTAGAGGACGACAAGTTTACGTGCAAAGTTTGGTTAAATTTATTTTACCATAACCACTGTAATATAGAAAGCAGGACGATATTATAAGGCTATTAAACTATTGACAGAAACACAGTTGTAATAGTGCTATTTCACTTTTACTAAATTGTTTATAGGGAATAGCAAAGGATCAGGTTTAACAAACAGTGAGAATAATGCTTCTTGCAGTAGTCCAAAAATAGAAACGTTCTATGATGAAATCTGAGAAATACAGCAACCTGGACCACTAGGATAGGATTTATACTTCTGAAGACTTTGTTTAGAGATGAAAAGTTAAGGAGTTTGTGTTGCTTAATTAATACAAATCTCTTTGTGTTTTCATTCCTTGCTTGAGTGAATAATTGTAAGCTGGCTCAAGTTACAGGTTAGACTGTGGGGTAACCGAAAACTTATGCAGACATTTCACGAAACTTTTAGCCGCATGTTACCACCTCTGATTTGTCTCATTCTAGTGCCAATGTGAAGTAGAAAGGTCAAGTATAAATTCTTTGAGATTCTATTAATCGTGTATAAGTTTAACCCCAATATATACATAAACTACAGTGAGGGAATGTTCAGCTTCTAAAAGGTTTACTTTACGGGGTAGGTATATTTCAACACAAGCGCTTTGCCTAAGTGTGGCTATTCTTTTGATTAATTATGGTGAGTTTTCTAGTCGATTATTACTGTTCAGTAACCTCACCAATTCACCTGTTATTGTGGAGCTAGGTATATAGGTTGTTCGATTCGGGTTTCTTCCGATCAGAAACTTGGCCAGAGTATCACGGAAAGGATTTCCAACAGCCTGTTGCAGACTTTCATCAACGGATGCCTCCTTCATTGGCTCTATCTCGAAGATCAAATGGTCAGAAAGAATAAATAATAGGAAACTGTGGGAACAAACCAACAGGAGAGAGCTGATCGCTCAACAGATATGTAGGAGAAAATAGAGATGGATCAGGCATACATTGAGGAAACTGTGTACTGACGTCAACCGCAAATTCAGGCCATCAGCTTAGTGGAATCCCAAGGGGAAGCAACGACTGGGTCGTCACACTGAGGGTGACATGGAGTAGATGGTGTGACGAGGAAGAAATGAGAGAATTTTGGCCATCATGGACCCGACTGAATAGAAAGGTGATATGTATCCATATATATATGTGTATGGTGGTCTCTTTTTCTGTTGCTCTCTTAGTCTGTGACCATTTCACTTTGACGAACCTGTCTCCTTTACCAATGTATATTTCCTCTTATATTATATATAATATGTGTGTTTGTTGACAGTCCGTTGCTTGGTGACATATATACATATATGGTGGTTGTTGACATGTCTGCTATATTTCGCTATGTATATATGGATCAATACTCCATTATAATTAGCCAATCATGTTAAGACTGTCTATTGATTTGTTCACTCACTTGTTCGGACATTCATATATATTTTGCTCTCACATACTTGTGTGAGATTGATTCTTCTTGTGTTTGGAATATAGAAGTATCATCGCAAACCTAGTGGTCTTCTGATTTCCGTCTTTCTTGCGTTAGGACTATTAAATTCTCGACCAGTACATAACGGTAATTTGGCGACGAGTACATAACAAAAGGTAAAAGGTAGAACAAAGACGAGATGTGTTGTTGAAGCCCTATGTTCCCCTCGTAACCCAAAGGAATAATATTTTTGATGTGGCCACAGCCTAGTCTGGTGTAGAACTTCTGATTGAGTCTCCACGGTGGGTTGTGCTTGAGTCGTAGCTTACGCAAACTAACCATCCACCTCAGAGAACAAAACCACATCAAAATCATCCACCTGAGCTACAAATCTTCTCTATCATATCTAAAGGAATAATATTAATGATAACATTCACCAGAGAGACAAAGAGAGTGGCTAATGGTTAGTAAACGTTATTAAACTTCAATTTTGGTAAAGGTGTTTATTTTAAACAATCTCAGATTGGTTTTATGTTTTAGTTATTCTATACTATTTTTCTCTTTGTTTTATACAGTTCCATTAGTTGAAATAAAACAACCTTCACTGAATGCACGAGCGAGTGAAAAAGAACAACAAGAAGGTGTAAGTTAACGTAGATTTTTATGACGAAAGTGTTCACTGCAATCCCTAATTTTTATTGATTTAATTAACATTTAGAAGTTTGCGTATTTATTCCTGAAACTCTACTAGGTCTGTTGATTTCACAAAGCAAGCTAAAACAGAAAAGTGATTTGGCGACCGCTTCAGCACTACACAGTAAAGTGTCGCAGTTATTCAGCAACTATACGATAATGCTACATGCCAATTGAAGTATTTGAGGTGAAAATAGGTGTAAGACAAGACCGCCTGTCATTGTCGATAACTTGTTTGATTGTAGTGAACAGAATCATGAGTCTGGAAATGAGTAGTGAGAAGATGGATATACATTGAAAGAACAAAAGAACTGGATTTCTCAGATGAATCAAGTCTCATATTTTCAGAGATTTATAACAGAAAACTAACAAGATGGAAGACGAGGCAGTGAAGACGAGGCCTCAGATGGATATAAAAATGACATAGGTAATGCAGACTCTTGATCACGAATAATCCCCAGTTATCCTCTTCGGAAGACGTCTAAAGGAAGTCATCTGATCCATCTAGCTAGAAAGCATCCTTTCAACTAGAGATGCTGTGTCTGGGGATGTCAAAGCTAGTCATGATCAGTAAAGCAAAGAGGGCTATTCTTCTTCATTTTAGATACATGTCTGAAACTGATAGTGTTACGACAGAAGACAAGGGCCAGGCAACAGATCGTTTATTGAGAAAATCAATAGATATTTATAGAATTTTATGAACATTATTGTCAGCAGAGAGGTGACGTCTTCCGAATAGTTGTTTTCTTGCTCGAAGTTATTCTGTTATCTCTTTGTGACCGTTTCTCAGAAAGTCAGGTCTGCGAATCGTATTTGCACACATTAAGTCCATTGTGATTGGTTGGTGAGTTCCTTAAGGTTAAGCTTTATTTTTGTCTTTTTTCTCATGACCCAAATTTGGGACGTAAACATTGACGTAAATTGTTGTCGACAGTTTTGTCTTGCAGACAGCTGTCAATAAAATAGTTCTCAGGAAAAGAAACAAAGTTTGAATTTTTGCACATTCGGCAGATGTGTCAAGAGACAAGGATCTCTAGTAAATCAATTGGCGACAAAGATTCGGAAGGAAATGGAACTAGATCGATTGGATATGCACTGAGGAAACTTTCAAGCGATACTACACACCTGGTCATCCAGTGGAATTCTAGTGGGGGTAATCGTGTGAGAAGTGAATTGAAGATTGTTGGCAGTCATGGAGACATTTGAAACTGATAATAAAGAACCGAGTTGAATAGGAATGTGTCACAAAAGCTCTATATGTTCCTTTCGGATGGAGATTTCAATCTCACCAGCAAATAGATGCTTTCACTCCGAACCCTACAAGAGGACAAAATTCTAATTTGCCATCATCTTTCCCTACTGAAATTGAGGTGGTTGGTTAGGCTCTGGAGGCAGACAGCAGTGTGCATTGTTAACGAGCCTTCAACTTTTGATTAAGACCTACTTTATTCTTTCTAACTTCATAATTTCTATCAGTTTTAGCAGAATTCGTATCCGTTGCTTATTGCGACTTACTATTAAATACTACACATAATGCGTAATCCCTTGAAGTATAAAGGAGTTTCGACAAGGCACCATCAGACAGACAGACAGACTATAACACACAAGATGTCAAATGATATTCACACATTCTGTTATCTTCTTTCTTTCCCTATTTAACTAGGATGTTAATATTGTGGTGAAAAAGGCAACGTCTCCAGTTTCAGCCTCCATTTCACCACCCTTGAAATATGAACAATCGAAACAATTTGCAAAGTCAAGATTCAGCTATGCTTTGCCTGAAAGGATGCAACGTTTCAGACGATCAACAGCGTTAGGCGATGTATCAACAAGTCCTGAAGTGAGTTAAATCTTGAGATAGTTACTCATTATAGAGGATCAATAATTACTGAGACCCAGTATTGATGGTGAACTAATTTTTGTTAGAGAACCACAGTGAAAATCAGTGAATACTTCACATCTGTTTCATCCGTGTTTAGGACTCTTCATTAGTGCATACTCATAACTTTATCATCGGGGATTCAACCCAAGACCGTCAGATTACAAGGCGAGTTAGTAGACCATTCAGCCTTTCATGGGGCAGAATTCACTAGTCCATCAATACTATCTTCTGATGGATCCAGTCGTGTGGAAACTTATTAATTTATTTTTTTGATTACAGCTTGATGTTGACAGGCGTTTGGCTAAAGTCATCCTATTGGATACCGAAATTACATCCCATTCTCACCTTCCCCTTGTATCTCTTGTGAGTAAAACCAGAAGAAATTTCATGAGAAAATTATACTCGTAGTGGAAAATATGAAAATTCAGTCCTACCATATTTAGCGTGGATATTATATAAAGAATGACAAATTTATTAGTCACAGGATTTCATTATGAGCTGATATCAATTAGAGAGCCATTGGAAAACCTGCGGGAGTACTGGACAGATGTTTCGTCGTCCTAGTCTAGGAGTCTTCAGGAGTATGCATTCACCCACAAGGTTCGAACCCAGCACTCCCAGGTTTTCCAATGGTTCTCTAACCGACGTCAGCTCATGATAAAATCCTGTAATCAACCGATCAAATCCCTACAAACCAATACTTGAATATCAATGAGATGCTCACTAGCAACTGGCCCTATTCAGGTAGGTAGTTACCTGGAGTTCTAGTGAGAAGTCGTGTCCAGTAGGGTGCAGCAAGTCCGGTATGAGGAAAAACACTCGCCGAAGACATTGGCTAGCGGTTGCGCTATGTCATGAATTGGCAGAAGTTAGAACTCATCAGCTGGTCATTTGATAGGGTTGCAGTAGCTTAATCGTCTACGAGCTGGCTCACCTTGTAACCAGAAGGTCCTTGGTTCGAACCCTGGCTGTGGGTTGGGTACGTACTACTGAAGAGTCCCAAACTAGGACGAAATAGCTGTCCAGTGTACTCCCAGGTTTTCCAATGTTTCTCTAACGAATATCAGCTCATGATGAAATTTTGTAATCAGCCAAATCCCTACCAACCAACACTTAGATAATTTTATTTACGAAGCTATTTCCAAGGTGTCATGTAGTTTGTTCTTGATGATACTGGATAATCACCTGATTGAATTTACTCTACACCAACAAAAAGGACCGGATGCATGATGCTGGAGAGGAGATACCAGTCTTTTAATTGGACATTAGTCACTAGTGTGATGTATCTGGCTAGTCCTTTCTTTGGTGCAGACTGAATTCTATCAGCCAAAAGGCCAACATGCCACTAGGTAGCTCGTCATTACGATGCACATTGATTCGATAATATTAGATGGTTAGAGGCGATCAGCCACAGGAAGCCTTGCATGACCTAGGTTTCGCGCTAGTTCAAACCTGACTGATGGAATTCAGTCTGCACCAGAGAAAGGACTAGACAAGTTACACTAGTTAGTGACTAGTTACTAGGTTAATCGCAAGCCCAAAATAGCACTAGGTGAAGCAAGTTCGATTCTCAGAAAGGACATGAGTTTCATTTTAAGGTTGAGCATAAGCCTTGCTGACTGGCTGGTGAGTGCCAACTAGCACGAAATCTAATCTTGCCAATTGTCTCCAACTATCTAACTCTACTCAATAAGCACACAAATTAAACTGTCCTGATCGTGAATGATTGTTTTTGCATCTTTTTTAAAGCCCGTACTTTTTATATGTACATATCTATCTCCCCCATTTTATTTTTAGCTTAGTTTAAGTGATATACGAGGCAAAGAAAATCTCGGTCAAATATCTGGATATGAATTTTTTGTGAAAGAGTGGTTTGATCAGCCAGCTGGAAGAGAATCATCTCTTGGTGGATTTATTTCCCATTTGGAATCACAAAGTGGCGGTAGTGGTGTTGCTGTTGCTGATGAGGCACTGCTGAGAATGTTAAAGACGAAACGACACAGAAGTCTATCGAAGAGGGCGGAATCAACAACAGAAGACACTTCAGCTGAGGTAATATCTACATATATATATATATCCTGTTTTAAGTAATTGTGTTATATGTTATAAAGCCCACAGATGTCAGTATTAACGACACAGTATGACTCATACCGTATTAGTTTGCTTATTAGATATATCACATAGTGAAACAGTACTATTATTATTATTTACTGGATGACAATGTTTCGAACACAATTTATTGTTCATAATCATTTCATCAATTATAATCACACGACTTCAAACTTGAATTTCATAGTTCTGTTTGTTCTCTCCTATTTGTCATTGTGGCGGGTAGTAGAATTGTCCAGATGTCCAGCTGGATCGGTGTTAAATCATTCCTATTACACGTGTTTGCAATTGATTCGATAAACAAAGCTTCTGTTATCAATCTCTCCCTCCACCCTGTGACATAAGATTTTAAAACTGTCATCCTATCCCATCCAGCCTATTGTCTGGTTGTGTGTAATTGCATGTAGTGAGTGATACGGCTGAACTGCTCTCCAGATTTCTTATCTTATTCGGGTCAACTAATCTAGATTTTGCTACGGTTTTGTGCTCCGCTAGTCTGAGTTTGGAGTTGTATTGACGAATTGCTAAATCCTCCTCCTCCTCCATACACAAATGTCGAAACCTGACCGCCCTTTCTTTTATTTGATCTCACCTTGTAGATAGTCTTGACAGACGACTCTGGTGGAACTATGTGGTTTGAGTTGACCAAGTACTTAATAATCGGGCTAGTAACTGTCTTGCATTGTCTTCTTGCTAACTTTGCCGGATAATTTTCAGAGATGCGTTTAGAATACGTCCGCTTTGTGTGGTCAAGATAAAGTAAATTTTCTTCGTTGAATTGTCTTTTATTTTCTCTATTTCTCTGTATTTAGAGTATTTGACTAAAGATTTCTACCGAAATTTGATGAACTCCAATTCGAATTTTGTCACTTGTGATGATTACAATAGATTTCCCTACTTATTTTAGATTAATAAAAGTCTGACTTGCTTCGCTAATTCTACTTTTGATATCTTCATCTATTCTGTCTTTAGTTGAAACGAGGTGAGTGGAAGAGGCGATTTCCTCTAGATTTCTACTGTGTTGATAATGAATGGTGGTTGTTGTCTTTGCTAGTAAGGTATTCTTCATTACTTCTGTCTTGTCGCTTCCCTCTTGAACTCCTGTCTTCACTGTTTCTGCAGACAAATTGTTAGTTATAACCATATAAGTCTTCAAGTTTGTTTGACATTAGTCATAAATCATCTCCAAAGTCATGATATTGTAGAGTCTTTTTGTCCGTTTAACATATTCCTGTCCTCTCTCCCTCCACACACACACACAAACACACAGTTTATCGCAAGATCCAGTCCACTACAGTCAGAAATAACGTTAGTGATAATAGCCAGCCTTTTCAAGAACGTGGAGGCTTAACAAATCATTCTTGTCTATATACACTTTCATCACATTTTCGTTTATTGATCTGTTTAGATAAATCAAGAGAATCAACCATTATTAGCGTTCAATGAAAGAACAAAACAAGATTTATTAGTTTTTGGTCGACTACCACATTTGTCAAATCAAGAAAGAATTCAACTTGAATCAAAATTTTTATACGACCCACCAGATTCAGAGGGTAAGTCAACATAGTTAACAATACGATTACAATAGGTAAGCTATTATCGTGATTATTGTTCTCATTTGGGTTTTGAGTGAAATATAAGGCTCCAGCAGCGTATCTAAATGTTGTTCTGTTCAATGCAATACTCTTTAATTGGCCCGATGACCACTTTTAGGCTCTCATCTCGTTCAAGTCAAACTTCAGATAACGCCCGACTAGATGTTATTCATCCATATTCCACTTGAGCATCGGCCTGGTGTGCGATGTCACCGAACAATCTTCTTACCGTGTGTTCCTATCCGTCTCCACTATATTCGGGATAGTTGATAGACAACAAGTTCTTGATTGGTTCACCTTCAGATTTTCTTGCTGCTAATTCTTTCTAGCCGGTTATGCGACCTTAAGTGAGGAGTCAGCAATATGCAGCCGTTGATAAAAGTCTGCAAAGGGCTGTTCCTGACTGATATGAAAGAGCTGAGTTAACATTGGTGTTAAAAATCCGAATTTTTTGTACCGAGTGCAGAGAATTTTCAAGGCGACTTCAGGGTGAGATAAGGATCACACTGTTGTCTTACTGATTGTAGTTATGCCATCCTTATGAGTACCACCTTCCTGTAGTTGAAACGATGTCGTCAAGACAATTATGTGATAATATCAAATGTTTATATAAACTGAATTCGGAAGATGGGCATGTCAGCCCATTATTCGACTAACTGTACGTCTAAGCTATATAGACACAAGTACATTCTGTCAGTTTTTATTAAAGCTTCCTGGATGTCCTCCTTATAGGAAAACAAGATGGCTGGATAAAAAGAAATTTGCATAGAAATAGTACTTGGACAGGATAATATACACATTTTCACAGCTTCGTTCCTATCAAGTAAAAAAGAAATTTAGTGAAGACACTCAACCACACAGAGTTAGAGCTATATGCTCAGAAGAAGTAATTGAAGATGAGTTAGGCACTGTATATGATACTTTGATCGAAAATAGCCAGCTATCCCGAAAAAGTTATCAAGAAACACATGGCAAAGAAAGCGGCGGAAAAGGACTGCTCACTATCTGTAAACAAGAAACCAATTTATATACGACTACAATTCATGGGCGATATACCAAGCGAGATAATTACGAAGAAATTAAGAAAATCAGTTCAAAGAACTTTGAATGGTGGCGAACTACACGTATTAATAGAAAAGATTTGTAACTCAGGTGGATGATTTGCAATTGATAGTGTTCTCTGAGCTCCTTGGTTTAATTGCGGAGCTTTCATCGTCTTTCTGGACGACATCTTCAGCGCAGTATTTAGGATAAAGTGAAATGATTTAAATTTCTTCATGAGTCTCCCGGTAACCATCTTTAGATATTTATTGACCGTTTTCTATTGATTGGGATTTTAAACTTTCTGATCACCTGATTTACTTCTTATTAGTTGGTATATTTCATCTATATTAACGTGTTTATTAATTGCGTTTTCATTTGAGTACCAGGCTTCTAGGAATTCTCTGGCACTTAAATTATAATAGTAATAAAGATATAATAGCGAGTAGGATATCAACTAAAATTAGGAAATTTTCTCGAAAATTGAGAATCATTCAAACCTAGATGGCCAAGGTAGGGACAGCGTCTGAACTAACTTCTTTTGGACGCACAAATTAGGCTTTTTAATGTGGATCCCAACAGCCTCAGCAATATTTAGTAATCGAACTCTTAAGGCGAAGTTGAGATTTGTTGGTATCCGATAAATAACTCTGAAAGCTTGATTAACATCAATCCTATGTTCTGTATCTACCAGAGAATTCCTAGAAGCCTGGTACTCAAATGAAAACGCAATTAATAAACACGTTAATATAGATGAAATATACCAACTAATAAGAAGTAAATCAGGTGATCAGAAAGTTTAAAATCCCAATCAATAGAAAACGGTCAATAAATATCTAAAGATGGTTACCGGGAGACTCATGAAGAAATTTAAATCATTTCACTTTATCCTAAATACTGCGCTGAAGATGTCGTCCAGAAAGACGATGAAAGCTCCGCAATTAAACCAAGGAGCTCAGAGAACACTACCAATTGCAGAACTACACGTATTGTTCTCCACATGACGGATGGTGCTACCTCGACTGAAAGATGAAGTACTTATACTAAACTAGCCACTTCAAATTGTATCTACCAATTCAACTGCGCTTGTGGAGTGAGTTATGTTGGCCGTTGCTCTAGGAACTTGAATTTTCGTGCTCAAGAACATCTTCCACTATGGCTAAGTTAAGGTGTAGTTAAAACTATTAACAGTTCGATATTGGACCATCTGGTGCGAACCGGCCACAAAACCAGCGTGGAAGAATCCTTCTCTGTCACCATCTACCGGGTGCCTAATAAATTGCCAAAATAATCGAAGCTCCGCATGCTCCAAACAGCACAGGCTATTGCAATGCACCCCAAGCAACCAGTGCTCTGTATTCAAAAGAAGCAAGTGTAAACAGCCACTACGACTGCCCTGGCCAGCCTTCAGTAGAGACTAGAAATTCATGAATTTGTATTATTATCTTTCCTAATTTTTCTGACATTCAGCTTATTATTATGTTGATGCTATTGAGGCTGTAATCTATCAATATTATTCATTCAATGTTATTTAAACAGCAACATTAATGTTGTTTATAACACTAATTCATTCATTCACTATAATGTGTATGTATAACTGTAGAGCCTGATGATGACGTTATCGAAAAGAGTATTCTTTGTTCAGTATCAATTCTTTTGAGAATTTTAAAATTAATGATTACAAACTGTTTGTTATCTTGGAGTCTTCAGGATTTATTTTGAAATGTTTTAACTTTAACCATCCCATTTCTAAACTGACTTAAAATTTGGTATCTTGAAAAATTTGAGATTCAGCCAAGATACTCTTTCCATCACATTTATTATGAAGCCTTACACTAATTTATATATATATATTTGATTGTTTGAAATATTAATGTGTACTGAAACAAAATATTTTTGGGTAAAGTCTAACTTTAAGCATTATTGTAAATGTAATCGAGTGAGGACAGATATATTGTGCCCACTGCATTCATCAATGCGTATTAAAGATCCTACTTGCCTTTACCAACCTGGTAATTATTGAAGATTAAAGTGGTGGTCACTATCCTACCCAGTAATCTTTCAATAAATTCTTTGAATAAATTCCTCTTATATAGTTCATGGAATCAGGTGTCATTTGTTTTATTTTTATGATATCGATTACAACTAATACAACTTATCAGTTGACAAAATAAGGGTTCTCCTTTTCCAGAAGCTGTAACACACTTCACAATCGATCAGTTTTAAATATACAATATTTGAACAGTTAGATGGTTGGATGGAAGCAATCAGCCACAGGAAGCCTTGCTTGACCTAGGTTTTGTGCTGGTTGGCACTCATCAGCCAGACGTATCTGCAACTGCCTTGAAGGAACTCATGCCTCTTCTGAGGAGATTCGAACCAGCGTCGCTCAGTTCTGACTGCAGTCAGAGTTGCTGCCAGTGAGCTTACTATTCTGGCTCGTGATTGACCTTCTGTAGGACTACTGGCTAGTCTCAGTCAAACTGCTCACTGACTAAGCACACGCCTCTTGTTCTTGTACACATTTCTGTTGTAATCACTAATGTTCTTTAATAATTATTCCTCTCATTATTATTATTATTATTGTTATTTCATCACCTTCTAGTTCCTGTTGAATTAAAGACTGGAGGTCAACTCCCACGATATTTAGAAGATGAAGGCTTTTTCATCAGTAAACTACCCTATGTAGCTCCAACAAATCTACGTCGACTTGAGAATCGTATTATCAGTGAGATTCATATGGATGTCTATGGCTTGAAGACTATACTGACTTGTCAATCTGCAGATGATGCAACTTTGAATGGAAAGGTGAATAATAATAATAATAATAATCAGGAAGTCGAAGAGAAGAAAAAGTTAAAAATTCAGGTAATTGCTTTATTATTTCTCTTCGAATTGTGGTTCTCTTGCATTGGTATACTCGGTTTCAGTTTATATGTCAGCCTCTAGTATGGAATTATTGGTATAAAGTATAAAACTTGGCCACTGTGGTAGAGCATAACTCCATTATGGATAAGATAAAGTCTCACAGTGTTGTAAAGTAATATTAACTGATGCGACCACGTGTCGAGCAGAAATTATTGCCGCTCATAATCATATCAAGTCACTCACCCACACAACTTTTTTCCTTCATTTATATATACATGTGTGGAATCGATTAGATATTGGAATAAAAATCAGTAATATAAGATAACGTACATTCCACAATAATAACACTAGTGTTTTTATAATCATAATAAGTTACTTGTTAGAATGTTGTGATGCGTTTGAATTGAAATAGAATTTTGAGATTATGTATTATCCTCTTCTGAATTGACCTGCGGTAATAATATCTTCCATGCATATTCAAGTGTTGGTTTATAGGGATTTGATTGGTTTCAGGATTTCATCATGAGCTGTCATTAGTTAGAGAACCATTGGAAAACCTGGGAGTACTGGACAGCTGTTTCGTCCTAGTTTGGGAATCTTCAGCAGTACGCACCCACCATAGGGGTTCGAACCCAGGACCTTCCGGTTACAAGGCGAGCTCGTATACCATTAAGCCACTGAGACCCAATCCAATGGTCCTTGAATTCTAACTTCTGCCAAGTCACGAAACCAATCAAATCCCTACAAACCAACACTTGAATACCAATGAGGTGCTCACTGGCGACTGGCCCTATTCAGGTAGATAGTTACCTGGGTTCCAGTGGGAAGTCGTGACCAGTAGGGTGCAGCTGGTCGGGTGTGAGGACAAATACTCGCCGAAGACATTGGCTAGCGGTCGCGCTATGTCGTGACTTGGCAAAAGTTAGAATTCAAGGACCATTGGATTGGGTCTCAGTGGCTTAATGGTATACAAGCTCACCTTGTAACCGGAAGGTCCTGGGTTCGAATCCCGGTGGGTGTGTACTGCTGAAGAGTCCCAAACTAGGACGAAACAGCTGTCCAGTACTCCAGTGGTTCTCTAACTAATGTCAACCCATTATTCCATGCATATTTCTGGTATTTGCATTGAGTCATTTCTGTTGCATGTGTTGGGTGTAGGCTGAATGAATCAGGATTGAGTAATGAAACTCCACCTACATAGATTACTTCTTAGAATCTTAAGCCTCTCCCATCCTATTGTGTGGTTGTAAGTTAATGCGTGAAGTGCAACTGCTGAGCTTTTTTCTGAATTACGTATCTTCTCGAGGTCAACCATTCTTACCTTAGTTAAATTCTTATGTTCTGATAATCTGACTATCCCTGACCTACTAGTTTGACCTTTATAGTTGACTTAACTCACCAGTCAGTCAAATCAGAGCAGGATAATAAATAATCTCAAAATTCTATTTCAATTCACATACATCGTAACATTCTAACAAGTTCCTTGATTATGATTATAAGCAATAAATTGTGCTCGAAACGTGGTCATCAGTAAACATTACTGCATAACACTGTGAGACTTTATCAAAACGAAATTTACCCATAATGGAATTACACTCTACCATAGTGCAAAAGTTTTATTCTTATATCAATGTCACTTATTACGACTATAAAAAAACTCGTCTTATTTCCCATCTGACTGTATTTGATCAATAACACTCATTTTATTATTTCTGAATGCACAGTTTCCTATGTTGATTTTTGTTTAAATGTCTAATCATCAATTTCACTCATGTATATAAATGAAGGAAAAAGTTGTGTGAGTAGTGACTTGATATGCTTATGAGCAGCAATAATTTGTGCTTGAAAGGCGGTCATCAATAAATATTTTGGTATAACACTGTGATTTTTCAAAATAAAATCTTATCTATATTTGAATCGGAAAATGAACAAGGAGAATTAGCCATGATGTTAAATTGTAAAATAAAACGAATAGAAGAAGGTAAACTGCACACTAGTGTGTACAGAAAATCAACTCATTCTGCTAATAGATACTTAGACTTCAATTCATCTCACCCGTTGACTGTTAAGGCAGGCTTAGTTAAGTGTTTAACAAACCGAGCAGTAGCACTAAGTAGCACAAAAAAGACCTAAATGATGAAATAAAACAGATAGAAGAGGCGTTGGTCGGTGTTGAATAACTATCCTATAAAATTCATTAGGAAGATCAAAAAAGGCCAAACAAAAAATGAAAATAATTGTGAAACTACTAAGAATAACATAATCAAGAGAGAGTATAAGTCATCTACAGTTATACCATATAAGGAGGGGACATCTGAAACCCTACGTAGTATTCTAAATAAAGCAGGATGTAGGGTGGCATTTAAACCCACAAACTCACTCAGCGACAAGCCCTGTAGGTTAAAGGACCCAGTTGACCCAATTAGACAAAATAATATAATTTACCAAATACCCTGCAATGACTGTGAGTTGGTTCACCTACGTAGGTCAAAGTAGTAGGTCAGGGGTAGTCAGATTGTCTCAATACAAGAATTTAACCAAGGAAAAAATGGTTGACCCTGAGAAGATACGTAATTTAGAAAAAAGCTCAGCAATTGCACTGTATGCGTTAACCCACAATCACACAATAGGTTGGGAGATGGTTAAAATTCTAAAACGTAATCTAGGTAGGTGGAGAGAGAGAGGTTGATCACGGAATCCTTGTTCATCGAGTCTACACCCAACACATGTGCAACAGAAATGACTCAATGCAAACACCAGAAATATGGAAGATATTATTACCACCAGCCAGTCAAATCAGAGGAGGATAATACATAATCTTAAAATTATATTTCAATTCAAACACATCACAACATTCTAACAAGTAACTTATTATGGTTATCACTAAGCTATACGATGGCAACGTCTCTGACTGCAGTGAGTACTGGGTGACACGTGTTCAAATCTCAGAAGGGACATGAGTTCCTTCAAGGTTGAGCATAGACCTTGCGGAACGGCGAGTGCCAACTAGCATGAAACCTAAGTCCCGGCAAGGCTTCCTGGGGCCGATTGCCTTCAACCATCTAATATAATCAAATCAATATGCACCGTGATGGTGAGCTGCCTAGAATGGTGGCCACATTACAAACCTGACTGATAGAATTCAGTCTGCACGAAAAAAAGAACTAGCCAGATACATCACACTAGTTACTGACCAGTGTTCAATCAATATGTATATATATATATATATATATATATATATATATATATATTTGCATCGGTATCTAAGTTTACTTTAGAAATGACGCATTATTCATCAGTGTTCTTCAGCGACTTTAGAAGAATTTCCATTAGATTACTTCAAGGAATGGAACTATTACACTGTAGCTTGCAGTGTTGTTTCCTGAATTATATATCTTTCAAACTCATCAGTTATTTGGGCATTGAACAGAAGTCGTACTGATTAATTTGTTTGAATACATATTCTGTGAACACAGCATGATGTGTAATTCTCTCAGTGACTTGAAGGGTTTTTCTCCCGTGAGTGGTTTGAAACATCGTTGGTCAACATTAACGTTGATTTTAAGTGAGTAATCTGTCAGCTGTGAAGCGTTAGTCGTTAAATCTATTCATATCGTGGAAAACACTCATATGGACATTAGAAAGAAGAGAATACGACGTTCACCTATACACAGATATCTTTTCAGCGATTTCATTTTCAAAAGTAGCTATACCATCCCATTTAAATACATAATTTTACATGGATGGATACAATTTCTTTTACTTGATTCCACATAATTACGACTGCGAATAAAAGGTGATAATTATTATTTTCAACTAGACATGGATGATTTTTACGAGAGGCTTAGAAACAAAATTACACAGGATTAGAACGGATATCAAGTGTGTAAAAATGAGCATGGAAACAAAATTGAAATAACAATTTTAACTTGAAAAGGGAGTTAGGAGGTGTGAATACGGATTACAAGAGCCTTAGAAACACAAAAATTGCACAGGATTAAGATATAATTGTAAATTAGTTAATTTTCAACGAATTATAAATGTGAACAGGAAAAGCATGGAAACAAACTTAAAGTAACTGTTTTTATAACTGAATAAATTGGGGGTGAATCAAATGAAGACTGAGTGAGTAAGAATCACACACACACACAGCGAACGAAAAAAGTTCAAAAAGAAAAAAGAGAACGAAAGAAGAAAAGAAAAAACGGAATCTAAGGGGACATACCGAACTAGGTCCATAGCAGCTGTAGAAGTTGGACTAATTTCTTTTGAACTCACAGCTCCGGCTTCTCGATGCATATTGCGAGGGATTTTGCAGTACAGAGAAGTTGGAAACATACTGCTTTTGGTAGGTTTCTGTTGACCTTGTGAATGACGTTGAAAGAATCAGTTGAGATGTTGTAGGAGGTGTTGATCAGATGTTCAATAATGAAACGGTGCCTCCTCTTTGCAGCCATGCTGGGTAATGTTCTCTGACACGTTTTGAAAGGACGCTCATACAACAACCTATGTACGTAGCTCCTGACAAGCAGGTGAACTGGTATATGCATATTGAATTTGGTCATATTGGAAAGTTTGTCCTTCGTGTTGTTTCGAAGTATTGGACGGCTAGAGAATGTTATCCTTGGTGTCGCTGCAAAGCTCTTGTAATCCGTATTCCCACCTCCTAACTCCCTTTTCAAGTTAAAATTGTTATTTCAATTTTGTTTCCACGCTCATTTTTACACACTTGTTATCCGTTCTAATCCTGTGTAATTTTGTTTCTAAGCCTGTCGTAAAAACCATCCATGTCTAGTTGAAAATAATTGTCACCTTTTATTCGCCGTTGTAATTATGTATTTTATTTTGATTTCAGCTTGATTCCACACCGTACTTTTTGGTACAGGTATGGAATTTTCAGCATGTGATATCGGTAGCCCAAATTTTGCAGGCCGACCATAGATATCAGGTGTGCGCCAGCATGTACCATGTGCATGGTCGGCGAGATTCCTAACTACTGTGCCACTGACGAGGATTGTATCCATGTAAAATTATGTATTTAAATGGGATTGTACAGCTACTGTTGAAAATGAAATTGCTGAAAAGGTTTCTTTGCTGTATCTATTCATATTTACCACTTGGAGTTTCGATATCAGTGATTCGACCTCTTTTAAAACTGTGATGTGATCAATAATCGTTATTCCTCAAGTTATGAAGATGTCGAACTATAGAACCAGGTTAGAAACATGTCCTTTTTTCAATACGAATTAGTGTCTTGGAATTTTTAAAATGAGTAACGTCTGATTAATACTCAATTCTGCGGGACGTATACTAAAACTGGAACAATAAAGAAAAGATTAGCATAGCCCCAACTCAAGGAAAGGCACTAAAAGTTGTGAAGTAATCTTCAGCATCGCTTGTGCAGTAGTAAAATGCTCGCCTTCTCTGCCGACGCAGTCTTGGAATTCACCGAGTTTAATAGTTACTAGTAAGGTCGGAAAAGAGGAAAGGTTGGGCATGAGTCTAGCGACTCTGCTTCACAAAAAGATATCACCTCTATGGCAAGTGAGAACGTAGGAATATATCCCAAAGTCGTATGTGTGTGATATGATTCTATATCTGGACAGAAAATAATCTGTTACATCTGCTAAATTCCAAATTCGGTGGCACAGTGGTTAGGACTCTCGTCGACCATGCACCATGTTCCGAGGTTTGATCCCCTGCCGACGCACACCTGATATCTATGGTCGGCCTGCAAAATTTGGGCTATCAATGTTCATGCTAAAAATTCCATACTTGTACCAATCAAAAAAATACAGTGTGGAATCAAGCTGTAATACACAAAAGACATCCTGTTTTTGAAATTTCAATCCACTGCTCATGAGTGACTACCTCTAATACAGATTTCCTAGAGTTCTGATGAGAAGTTATGGCTACTGGTATCTACAGAAAATCGTCTATGAGGACTGGTATTTGTTGATGACACTTTATGACGCTGATTTTAAACCATGGAACTACAGAAGCTAAAATTCTTGAAGCAAAGTATCCTACTCCAGTGTCTTAATGGTTTTGCGTTTCTATCCCTGGTGACAGGGAGCTTAAAAATTGTTGTAGTGTCCACTGTCTGGGATGGTATAGTTGTCCAGTGCTCCTTGACTTCAAACACTTCTTAAACTAGTTTCGAGCGGTGATGGTATCGACCTTGAAGAAAGTGAGTAAACCAAATCGCTCTAAATCCGTTCCCAAACTGTTCTGTCACCTTGTTGGATATATATTAGAATTAGCCCAAATCTTGAAAGGTTGGGTGTGGTTTCTGCAAGCCGTTGTATGGCGCAGACGATGCACTAACGTATACACCATTAAACGACTGTATGCGATCACTGATGTTATCTCATGTCACTAATGACTTTTCGACTTCATCGTCTTTCTACAATTCAGTAAATCAGGAGTTACAGAATACTACCTTACAACAGATGCATTTCTTCAAGAAATAACTAGATAGCTCGATGGCATATATTACTGATTGGTTGACGTGAGTAGTATGAAGCATAACACGTCAATTTGTAGTGTTTACTGGTTATATATTGAAGTGATTTTAACGACTGATGGCTGTTTTGCTAGTTTGTGGTTGAGATTATCAGTGAGTTACGTGGTTCAACCGATATCAGAGGGCTAAATTAGTTCAAACTTCATTCTTTCTATCCATCTACCTAGAAGAATTGGTAATATAGTTTGTCTGGCGGCTGTTTCTCTAGGTCGATGCCGAACACACTAGTTGGTGTACTAAGGTGATGGCATAGATCAGTGAATCACACAAGTGTCTTCGATTTAATTCGTCAGATAACTTTTACGTCATTTTCTTGTTTTTGTACTGTTTATTTAGTCATGGTTTCGTGAAGATGGAATGTTAAACTTACAGTCGAATCCACTGAAAAATATCCCGTCCAGACCATCACTATGGAATGATCAGTTTAATCCACTGCCGGAGAAATTTCAAATCTTCTATGTACAAGTGAGTGATGTCTGTTCAAAGGATTTTACCTTTTTGAAAATAGAAATGAAATGAAAACATGTGGTTTAGAGGAGGGACTCTTTTCAGCGAATTCATTTCCCCCTTTTATGCATTTATTCCCTTTGATGAATTTGAGTAAAGCAAGAACAACAGTGATGGTTGGTGCAGAATAATATGGTACCATCATCGCTTATTTCGTTGGCTTCTCATCAGCTGCTTACAGCCTAAATAACTTATAAGGTTCATGTACAGAAAAGTTTTAACATACTTGCAAATTTGTTTCATGATGTCAGTTGACAGAAGTTTCCGCAATTAGTGAACAGTGATCAGAAAATTACTCTCATATAGTTTTTACACAGGCAGTTCAAGTTTAAAGAAAATAAATATATCCATGCATAGAGTGGTAAAGGAGTTATGTAATAAAGACAAGAGATGCGTAAGATGCAGAATGACTAATAAATAAGGTAACAATTTACCGATTTCAACTCAAATCATAGAAATAAGAGACAACAAATTATACAAATTATAAAAGAAGGTGAGGTTAAAGCCAAGGATTACGCAATCAAATGAAAGAAAGAATAAAGGCGTCCAGTTACTATGACAAGAGAATACTGAAAACTGTTTCTTTCTGAACACATAAATCTGGCTTCAAGCGTTTGATAGAGATTGCTTCGGTGAACTTGAGGAGAATTGAGCGTGTTTGTCTATGGATAATTTTAAAGGATTTCGTGATTTCCACCTCATGACCCGCATAAAGGAGATGTCTGGTAATAGTGCTGCTATTATCAGTCACTCAGCATCTTTCGCATCTCTTGTTATTATTACATAACTCCTTTACCACTCTATGCATGGATATATTTATTTTCTTTAAACTTGAACTGCCTGTGTAAAAACTATATGAGAGTAATTTTCTGATCACTGTTCACTAATTGCGGAAACTTCTGTCAACTGACATCATGAAACAAATTTGCAAGTATGTTAAAACTTTTCTGCACATGAACCTCATAATTTATTTAGGCTGTAAGCAGATGATGAGAAGCCAACGAAATAAGCGATGATGGTATCATATTATTCTGTACCAACCATCACTGTTGTTCTTGCTTTATTCAAATTCCCCCTTTTAGCTGTACAATCACAATTATGTAAAATCTCTTTTTATAATGACAGAGGGTAGTGACAAATGTGGTGAGTTGTCATAATCATCGCTTTTAATGTTAGTCAATGCATGAAAGGAGTTGAATAAGTTTATCAGAGTTACGTAACAAGATGAATAACTGATTGGATGAATGAGTTGTATTCACGATGCACACAGAAATGTAGGAACGTATGTAATTATACAACACATATACAGAGTTAGAATTGATGGCACAGAATACTGGCTATTCAACACTGACAGACTAAAGTATTCGCATTTTGAATAAATAATTCCTTTCAAAACGTTTATCCCATTATTTTTCCAGCCCCTATCACCTGAAATGACTCAGAACTATTTCAGTATGCAGTCAGAAGGTTCAAATTGTCAAAATCAATCAACTTTTGCGCTAAATTTATCGAGAAATAAGCAAGCTGGTAAAGAATGTCGCTTAGATGTAGATATTCGACGAATTACCTTCGATTTTCATCCATTATTCAGTTTAGAACATGTTTACGCCCAGAATCTACGTCAAATTGTCCAAGCTTATGAGTTGGCTTTATCAAGAGATCAAGTGAACGCATGTATTCAACGTGTAAGTTTTAAACTTTTCGCCCGATTTATCTGTGTTGGCTGATTGATCTTGACATCAGAAAATTGAAACCTGATAAATCAGAGAATGCGTAGTTTGCCCGTGGGGGCGTTAGCGTCAAACTAATAATATAGTGTAAGTCACTTCTACATTTTTGATTGGTAGATTTTAGTTGGCTGACATCAAGGTGAATCAGATTATTATGGCCTTCAAAAAGTTCACGTGTGAACGCTACTTAGAAATTTGGACAAAGGGAAAGGACTTAATTGATGGATGGTGACTAGCAGTGGAATCCACTCACTGAGAAATGCAGGTACATCCAGCTGACGAGTCCCAAATAGGACGAAATGCGCATCTTACTGGATTCCACTGCTAGTCACCATCCACCACTTAAATACTAACTAAATGCCCAGACATCGTCGAAGCATCTGCACAAGAAGCCGACATGTCAACCTGAGACCGAGCACTTCGGTCCAATCAATCGACGGGAAAACCAAAAATTCAATTCAAAGGGAAAGGACATTGGAAACCCTACGTAGAATTTTAATACGACTGGAATTAGGGTGGCATTCAAACACAAAAAAACTTACTTAAAGACAAGCTCTTCACGCTAAACCAGCGTACTAACCTAACACCAACAATTCACAATGCACCATAATGGTGAGCCACCCAGCATGGTGGCCACACTGCAAACTTGACTGACAAAACTTTGTCAGCAGAGAAGATAGGACTAGATACATTACACTAGTCACTAACTAGTGTCCAATCAAAATATCCAATGCAGTCGAACAGCAAGTCAGTCAAGAGATCAAATAGCTAACTCAGTGGCAACGTCTTTGACTTGATTCGGCACTAGGTGACGTGGGTTTGAATCTCAGAATGGACATGAGTTCCTTGGAGGCTGCAGATATGCTTTGCTGACTGATGGGTGCCAGAGCTTTCTGTAGATCGCCTCCAATCATCTAATGTCAATAATTTCAGGTTCGAGCATTGCGAGTTAAATAGCCGTAATGCTTTTAGAAAGATGAACTAATAGAATGGCAATCAAACCTATACCTCAATTTCATCGACATCGAAAAGGCCTTTGACAGCGTTGACGGAGAATTAATTTGGAAACTACTTCAACACCACGGCGTACTTCAAGTCTTTATCAACCTCATCCAACAGCTATATAGCTTTCTGCCTACTGTTACCGATGATATTCCTAATTGTGGTGGACTGAATAATGCGTCAGACGGTGGGTGAGGAGCGAGGAGACAGGAATATGCTGCACTCACCGATAAGAAGTCCGTAGGAGGATTGGATTTCGCGGATGATTTAAGTCTAATGTCACACAAACTTGAAGACCTGCTGTCAGGCAGTGAAGACAGGACTCCAAGTGAACATAGAGAAGATAGAGGTGGCGAAAATAACCAACCACCACCACCACCAACAACAACAACAACAACCAGAACGAGTCACCATAAACGAGGGAGATTTAACAACGGTTGCCTCTTTCCCTTACCTGACCAGGGATTTATTATTATTATTATTATATCCTTTAATTCCTAAAGGAACATGGGGCTTCAGCTGCGCATCTCCATCGCCTTCGGTTTTCTGCCAAATTTTTCACCCCGCTGTGAGTCTGCCCACATGCTTTCATCTCCTCTTCACATGACCTCCTCCAAGTCACCCTTGCACTGACCACCAACTCGCCGCTTCCCTTTTGGGTTCCACTCGAGCAATGGCGTGTCTAGTGATGTCACTTGATGATCTCCTCAGAGTATGGCCAGTTCATCTCCATTTCTTCCTGCCTATTTGTTTCACAATGGGTTCCTGGTTGGTTCGCTCATTGCCAGAGATCCCTGTTGCTGATCTTTTCTGGCCGACCATCTGATTTTGAGTTTTGAGCGAAGACAACTGTTAGTGAAGGTCTGTAGTTTGTTTGAGATGCTCTTTATGACGTGCAGTGCAAGTCTCTGATCCTTACAGTGAGTAGCACTGACTTCACATTGGAACTGAAAATCCGGATCTTATTTTTGATGCTGAGTAGGGCTGTTGACCTCCACACAGACTTGAGAGTAATGAAAGCTTGTCTTGCTTTTCCGATTCTGGCTGCTTTGATATACTAGTCAATCTGATCAGGGAGCATCGTATCAATTACAGGCGGAAATGATGAAGATGCTAAAGTCAAGATCGGAAAGGCGAGATACGCTTTCATCAACCTGAAACTAGTTTGCAAGTCTTCTGTACTCCATCTTAGCATAAACAGCAAGATTTGGATTGCCATTATCGATATTTGTTCAGTCACTTCTTCTATATGGGTCAGAAACGTGCACCGCGTGTCACGAAAACCACTTTCAATAAATTACAGACATTTATCCACAGCTAACACCTTCCCTAACTCCGTACTGTAGATCAAATGGCCGTCTGATCAGCTGGCCAGAAAGAATTAGCGACAAGAAACTCTGCAGTGGAACAAACCGACAGGTGAGAGCCGATTGCTCAACAAATAAACAAGAGAAAATGGAGGTGGATAGAGGATACATTGAGGAGGCTATCGAACGACAGCTCGCGCAATACAGGACATCGCTTGAGTGAAATCTCAACGGGAAGCGACAAGTGGCTAGTCGTTGCGAGGGTGATGTAGAGGAGAATATGTGAGGAAGAGATAAGAGATTATGGGCAATCGCAGATCCAGCTAAAGAGGACCGTAGGCAATAGGAAAGAGTGGAGATGTGTTGTTGAAGCCGTATGTTCCACTCGTAACCCAAGGGAACAATAATAATAATAGCCTCAAATCCAAGTTTCTCACCTCTCAGGCCTCACAACCGGCTGAAGGAATTTTACGAGTGCATCAACCGGGAATCGAATCCTCGACCACGTTCATAGTTGTGCCAGCATTCTACCAGTGAACCGCTTAAACACTTCATACTACTTTAAATTCTTATTCAGTAGATAATACAATTACGATTTCAAAACTTTACAATTTCTTAAATGACTGGAAAGATTTGATGATATCAGTCTCTGATATTCAATCTATATAGCATGTTCTTGTTGATTAACCTCCGGTCCGTCCCGTTGAACACCCACTCCCAGCTTCACATTTCTTTCCATCTATAAATAATCTCAATATTCACCGATGTTTCTCCAAAGTTAGTTCAATTTTTCTTTAATTATTATTATTATTATTTATATTATCATTATCGTGAAAGTCATTCTGTATTTGACATATCTATCTACCTTTAGATAAGCGCTTTAAAAAGAGCACTGAAACAACTTGAAGGCAAACGAATCGCAAATGAAGTAAGTCTTTTTTTAACTATCTGAATACATACTCATTTATTCATGAATATCACACAACTTTTGTTTTTCAGGGAATAAACCCCTCTTCTCACTGACTTCATTGTTTATCCTAAATGAGAGTAGTTATATTACTTAATAGGGCAGTGAGTAGTACCAAAAGAGGCTTAGTCAAGTCACCTCACAATTCTACACTTAGCTTCATTCCAACTCACAGTACACGATTAGTTACTTGAATACTATTTTCGGCAAAGTTAAACTTTAGACACCACTAACAACCAATCAGCAAACGACCTTGAACGAACCAATTACATTAAAGAGGCATATATGATGAATGGAAATGTATATTTAGAGAAAAAAAGCACAAAATAGAGAATGAAAAAGTTACATGGGATATCTTTCTCGAACATGTGAGACAAACATATCCCAGTTTAGCATGGGACTGTCAATGCTTTTCCATCTGCTATCCTTTCGACAAATCCCCTTTCGGAGGGAGGTGTCATACAAACCTATTACCTAAATATTGTTCGCTGGCTGGCGACCACGGTTGTATTTCTTTTTTACCAGCACTGTCTCATCGACACGCACGATAACGTCTTCCCCACCCAGCAAACAAGTGATTTTCCCCATTTGCCATGATGCGATGTCTCTGCAATGCTGGTACCACTGAACTGTTGAGACATGGCTATTCTCCATCTCGGCAGCTGCTGCTCTCACAGCCTGTTTCAACACCCATTAGTTGCAGATATACAAAATCTGGGTTAGGGAGAGATGCGACCTAGCGAATGTAAGTTCCTACAAAATATTAAAATTATCAGCTTACCCACTCCAGATGAACAAACCCATCAGTTGATTTGATATAGCTTTTTAAAGTAATGATACCACCACACAAACAAATTCGTTCTTTCCGGAGCAATTTAAATCCAGGAAATACTGGAAAACACTAACCTCCTCGAATTGCAACTGTAGCCTTGTAAGGTCACGCATTAGAAATGAATCAAGCGCTATACAACATTGAACTGTGTTCGTGAACCTCATTGGATAATTCGACATCGTTCGTGAATCTCATTGGATAATTCGCTGATTGGTAGTTAGTGGTGTCGAAAGTTTAACTTCGCCCTATTTTCCACAGAGAAGACACAGAATACTAACTTAGAAGATTTTCACATAAATAATCCCCATGCAGCCATTACAGAAGGCCATAAGGCAAACAGTTTGCAGTGAAGAGTCTGTTTTCGGTGAAATAATTTTCCTTCTTTGTTGTATTTTTTAAGAATTATTCCTTTACGTTCCCAGTGGATCATAAGGTTTCAAGCTGGAGGCTCTTTTCTGGCCCTACTACCAGCCTAGCTAGGTAAAGGAGTACGTCCAGTGCCCGGGTATCGAACCCCAAACCACGTGTGGCGTGGCTGGTGTGCATTCTACCGTTGTGCCACCGATGCATCTCTTAGCTGTATAAGTGCATTTATATACAGTCTGTTCTTCATGAGATAGGACAGTAACAAAAGTGATGAGCAGTTGTCATAATCGTAGTTATTAATATTAGTCAACGTATAACTGTATCCGCGGTACCTAATGAGATGAGTAATATATTGAATGAGTTGTGATCATGAGGAATGCATAGAAATAAAGAAAAATGTGATATTACGTAAGAGTTGGCGGGGAGGGAGTGGGTGGGAAATGCAGGAGTTAAAGAAACAAACGGATAAAATCAAGTTGGTTGAAATCAAAAAGGTATTGTTATCATGATAAAGAGTATTGGCTGAATTATTGTGCTTTGTATGATGAGCTCCGGTTTCTTCTGCATCTGAATGACTAAAGCCACTAGAGCAATACAAATAAGCAGAAAGCGTATATTTTCATTGAAAGAGGTTGTTCCTCACTTTGTAGATTACTTTGAAGGAGGCATTTGTTGAGATGGAATGATCAGTGTTGTCAAGATTTCCGATTATAGCACTCCTTATATAGCCATTGATGCATTTCTGAATCTATACAGGATTTATTATTTATTTATTTATTATTCCCTTGGCTTCCAAGTAGAAAATAGGGCTTCAACAATACTGTCTGTCTGTTTTCGACATAGAACTTTGCACAAATGTGCGCCAGTTCAAGTCGCCACGCTCCGTGTAGCACGCGAAGCAAGAGAAGAAAGTACAAGAAAAGCATAATAGAAACAGTGAGCAGAGGTGTGAGACAAAGGAGTAATAAAGAAATACAAAACAGTTTCATTGAAGATCGTAAGTCACAGGGAGTGGATGCATCTGCGCCACTGAGAACGATTTTGAGCCATGTCACCAATTGTTTCCAACGATAGATTTTTACCGTCCCGAGGACCCCAGCCTGGAAGTCTACACCTTTCTACGTGGCTTAGACCAACTGTTGTGGATTTCATTGACTGATGCCAAGTTTTTGTTTGACCGCCGCTAGCTTTTTTCCAGCCTGACCCTATATCCGCTAACATTGCTCGTCGAGGGAGGCGATGGCTTGGCATACGTAACACATGTCCTAACCATCTCAGTCTTTGTAGCTTCACGACTTCGTCGATTGATTTCCCCTGTTTACCTAGAACTCTACGCCTAACCTCAATGTTGCTCACCTTATTATGCCACTTTACACGGGAAATAGAACGCAGGCACCTATGATCAAAGACGGCTAGTCTTTTCATGTCTTCCACTCTGATTGGCCAGGTCTCACAGCTGGCCATAAAGGAGGACGGAGCGGACTGATGAGCAGTACACCCGCCCTTTGGTCGATAGTCGAACATCTCGTCTACGCCAGAGTCGGCGTTAACTAACAAATGCGAAACGAGCCCCTTGTATTCGTGCTGAGATTTCTTCTATTTTGTTCTGTCTTCTTCACTTGAGTTCAGGATCGCCCATAATTTCTCATCTCCTCTTTCAACTCACCACATGATCTCCACCATGTCACATTCGCACAAAAAATAACCCACTTATTATTGGGATTCCATCCAAGCGCAGGGCGTGTATAACTCTCAGTATCATTCGACAGCCTCCTCAACTTATGCCCAAACGTGACACGTCTCCATTTTCTCCTACATATTTGTTGAGCAGTCAGCTCTCACCTGTTGGCTCGTCACCTCCCAGAGTTTCTTAGCGCTAATTCTTTGTCGTCTGCTAGACGGCCATTTCATCTTCAGTTTGCAGACAGCGAAGATGGCAGCTGTTGACGAAAGCCTGTCACTTGTTGGAAATCCCTTCTGTCATAGGCACGCCAAGTTTCTGACTGGTATAGAAGAACTGACAGACTAAAAATCGATGATGAAACTCCGAATCTTTTTGTTTATGCTGAGGTGGAATGCAGAAGACTAGCAAACTGGTGGTTTCAAGTTGATGAAGGCGTATCTTGCCTTTCTGATTCTGGTTGACTGGTGTTGAAATCTCCATCTGTCCGGACTGCCTGTAGTTGAAACATTGCTTCATAGATAAGTGAAGGAGGTGACTCCCGATAAATCTCTCCAGTTGATGGAGACTGGTGCTGGTTGTTGTTGTTGCTGTTGATTGGTTGGTTGGTTATTTGCTTATCTTCATCGTCTCTACCTTCTCTATGGTCACCTTGAAACCTATCTTCTTCTTCAGCCAGTTTGTTAGTTTTCGCATGTAGGTCTTTGAGTTGTGTATGATATTAGACATAAATCATTCTCTGGAGTCTTCTTATAGTTTTAGTGTATTCTTACCTTCTCAATCTCTACAATCTAACGCATAAGTGAGTCTACCACAATCGGGAATATCATCCGCGATAGTAGGCAGGCAGACTTGTCTTACTCTTGTATTCACTTCAAACGCCTGCCTGAGTTTTCCGTTATGGATCACTTGGCCCCTGGCAGTGTCATATAGCTTCTGAATGATATAAGGATAGTATACTTCAACTCTGTTGAACAGGACACGTGGCCAACCATGTAATATACCAGCTTTCACAGGAACAAGTGAACTGATATATACATACATATAGGTTATCCTCAGGTAAGAGATCTTATCTCTTAGGCTTCTACAGATCAAGTGAATCACCATAGACCACTATTCTTAGGATAGCAGTGAAAAGATGTTCTCTTCAAAGATGTTGAAAAACTTGCTTTAAGCATAACAGAGGTTAGTATATAATTGGTGGATGGTGGCTAGCAGTGGAATCCAGTAAGATGCGCATTTCGTCCTATTTGGGACTCGTCAGCTGGATGTATCTGCATTTCTCAGTGAGTGATGATGTTCGAGCCTCAGTGGGAACATCATTGCTTACTGAGAAATTCAGATACATCCAGCTGACGAGTCCCAAATAGGACGAAATGCGCATCTTACTGGATTCCACTGCTAGCCACCATCCATCAATTGTATACTAATTAAATGCCCAGACATCGTCGAAGCATCTGCACAAGAAGCCGACATGTCAACCTGAGACATAGCACTTCGGTCCAATCAATCGACGGGAAAATCAAAAATTCAATTCAATAAGAGAGGTTAGCTTGCTGTCAAAACCAAGAATTGTCTACAGTTTATTTTTTGGCACAAATTATATATTTCATGATCCATAACTAAATTTTGTTCAAGCTAATGAACACTGGTTAGTCCCATTACCAGCCTGTAGCTTCAATCAATTGGAAAATGAAACAGAAGATTTCATCTTTGAAACTTATGGACTCTTTCCCTAACTTTCAATCATTATACTCACTTATGTTCAATTTCTGCAATAATCATCTAAATCTTGTCTACTGATCATTGAAATCTAAGTAGAATATAAGACTTCACTACTTCAGATCACAACGCTGGAGGTGTTATTTTCACAAGATGAGTTTGATAGCATCACACGTTTAAACTCCCCACTTGTTCTCAGCTTTCTATCAGCTAGTAGGCTAGATGTGATTTAGGAGTTCATTCATCACCCTGGGGTTGAATCTGGACCTCCAGTATAGCTGGAGGTCTATTATTGAAATGGCCCTATTCAGGTAGGCACTTACCTGGAGTTCTAGTGGGAAATCGTGACCAGGTTAGGGGTCGCCCAATGTCATGAATTGGCAGAAGTTGCAATTCGTGGGTCATTGGATTAGGTCCCAGTGGAACCGTTGATGCAGGTGCTTACTGATGAAGAGTACCGGACCAGGGCGAAACAGCCGGTTGTGCAGAACTTCCAGGTTTTCTAATCGTTCTCTAACTGGTGTTAGCTCATGCTGAAGTCCTACTGTAACAACAGAAGACAAGCCCTAGGCAACAGGAAATCAACACATATTTATAGATTTTCATGTACATTATTATAGATTACTATTAGCAGAAAAACAGTCTTATGATTGGTTGTTTGTCATAGAAATTTAACCTTGTATCTCTTTGTCGCTGTTTCTCGAATGTCAGATCATCTATATGTTAACTGTATCCGCCTACGCAGAGCCTTTCTTCTCATTTTTCTCACGACCAATATTGGTGACATGAACATTGATGTGAATTATTGTCTACCAATTTTGACTAACAACCAGCTCTCATCACACTATAACCAATCAATCAAATCCCAACAAATCAATAATTGAATATTATTGAACTGTCAGTGAACATATCCTCCTATCGCAGTTCAATTCTTTTCCGTTTTCCATTGATGTAACTTTGATTTCTAGCGCCTCGATAAATTCTCTTATCTGTTTTTTTTGGTAGAGTACTTTCAACGAAGATCAACTTGCAGAAATTGATTGTCGGATAGAAGATTATTATCATGAAATAAGGTAATTATTTTCTTTTTATTATTTTATACTACTGATAGTAGTATACTTTACCTCGAAATCTTCCTTGACATCATCATTTTTATGATTTCTTCAAGTTATATAGTATTGATTGAGAAATAGGGCAAAGTTAAACTTCAAGCACCACTAACTACCAATCAGCGAACGACCTACAACGAGCCAATCATATGAGAGAGGTATTTTTGGCCATGAAAAATGTATATTTATGGAAAGAAAAGCATAAAAACTGCATAAAACTGTTACATAGGCTATCTTTCTATGACATTTTACAGAACATCTCCCGGCTTAGCATAGGAATATCAATGGAAAAGTTACACTACATTCTGTATACTTATTCATCCAAATGACTATAAATAACATTTCTTTGAGATCCATTTATAGCCATAATCCTGTTTTATAATCTTCGTCAAAAGTCTTCAATAGAAGTGGTGTGTGTGTCCCTGTAATGGGATCCAGAAATCAGTGCAGTGGTTGACTCAGCAGTGGTGAATATATGCAAGAGATGACAAGGAGCTACAAGATTTCCAATAAAATGTGTATATAATAGGTCCTTGTTTCATCAGTCGAGTAACAATAGACATTAAAGTACTTGACTTTCTGTCTGCTATCCTCTCGATGAATCTTTTCCGTAGAGAGGTGCCACACAAACTGATCACCCGAACAGTATTCGCTTGTTCTCGACTACAGTTGTATCTTTTCTTTTACAAAACAAATTTATCTGCATGTACGAGGACACCTTCTCCTACCCAATAAGGAAGTAAGCCTCTCCATTTTCCACGACGCGATATCCTTGCAGTGTTGGTATTACTGAACTGTTGATACGAGGCTGTTTTTAGTTTCAGCAGTTGCACCTCTCACAGGTTGTTTTAAAACCCAGTAGTTACAAATATACAAAATATGGGTTAAGGAAAGATGAGATTTGGCAAAAAGTGTTACTACGATGTATTGGAACCATCAGGTTACCTTCCCTGACACTCACTCGACTCAAACAAATCGCCAACTTTTTCACCCGGCTCCACGTCTACCCACATACTTTCATCTCCTCTTCCCATCACCTTCTGCACAATCTCAGTTTCTCATTGGTGACCAACTCGCCGCTCCCCATTCGGTCGGGCCTCATTCACGCAATGACCTCGCGTGTGAGGTCACTCAATTGATGGTTTGTTTTCTCAGAGTATGGTCAATCCACCTCCATTTCTTCCTGCTTATTTATTGCACAATTGGTTCCTGCTGGGTTGGTTCTTCTTTCCCAGTGATCCCTGTTGCTGACCTTTCCTGGTCAGCTATCTGATCTTGAGTAGTAATGAGCGAAGATAATTGTTGATGAGGTTCTGTAGTTTGTTCGAAGTGGCCTTCGTGACGTAGCATAGCGCCAAGTCTCTGATCCGTATAGTAAGCTGTACTGACTTCACATTAGAGTTTAAAATCCGAATCTTAATTTTCATGCTGAATAGTGCTGTTGATCTCCACACACACTTGAGAGCAATGAATGATTGCTTTGCTTTCTTGATCCTTGCTTTGATACAGAGAGCTGACTGCCATTCCAATTTCTGTTCAGTGATGATACGGAGTGTTGCGATTTGATCGATGCATGACTTGTTTCTCCTGACCTAATGATGCTGATCGCAATCGCCGAGGAGATACCGATTCCTTTATGGATGTAGGTATAAAAATGTATCAAGTCTTACAAAAACCACGAAACATTAATTCATGACTTTATGTCGATCGCATCCAACCCTACCGGAGTTTTGGAAGGCGAAAAGTTATCAAGTTCACTTGTCACCAGGCACAACCACAGTAAGTTTCATGCTATAATTTACCTATCTCTTTCTCTTACTCTTCTTTAGCCTTATGCGTCGTGCAAGAAATCATGCTGAAGCCTATGAAAAAGGGTTATTAGCTTCAGCTCTCCGAGCATGGAAACGTGTTAAAGAAGCAAGAGTAAAAAGTGGTTGTACAAATACTACTGTCCGATTGAAAATAGCAAAGTAAGTAAAGGTGACTACTTGTTTACACACTTTAGTAGACAGTTTTGCAAATGAGAATTTTTCGCATTAGCATTGGATTAGTAGACTTTGATGATGGCTTAGAAAGCATCCAGATAGATTATTGGCCTGGTACCTCGTCATCTGATCTATGAGACTGCTAAGCTTTATGTGCACTTCAGTGGTACAAGTTCAAAGGAACAATTTCCTATTTGAAAATGCCCTGACATACTCAAAATCTATACACACTAAGTGATGAGTTTAATGCTCTAGTATAAATAGTGGAATTCGGATCTTCTGTTGAGGATGCGAATTTTTGGAATTTTTCATATAATGGTGCGTTGAATTTTCTGTAACCGTTTGGTTGAGTTTTGGGGGTTAGGTTGTGTTATGTACTCGTCGCCAAATTATTGCTATGTACTGGTCGAGAATTTAATAGTCCTGACTCAAGAAGGCGGAAATCAGAAGACCACTAGGTTTGCGATGATACTTCTATTTTCCAAAACACCAGGAGAAGCAATAAGTGGTATCACACCAAAGAAGTCACACAAGACTGAGAGAGCGAAATATATATGAATGTCCAGACAAATGTGTGAACAAATAAATAGACAGTCTTAACATGAATGGCTAATTATAATGGAGTGTCGATCCATATATACATAGCAAAATATAGCAGACATGTCAACAACCACACATATAATATGGATATATGTCACCAAGCAACGGACTGTCAACAAACACCCATATTATATATAATAAAAGGGGAATATACATTGTTAAAGGAGACAGGTTCATCAAAGTGAAATGGTCACAGACTAAGCGAGCAAACAGAAAGAGAGACCACCATATACATATATATATATATATATATATATATATATATATATATATATATGGATACATATAAGGTTGCTAGCACCACGCTCCAACCCTCCCTCTTTATCCGAGCTTGGGACCAGGTAGAAAACTAGCAAGCTAGTAGTCTAGACAGAACTCCGACCAGAACAAGCTGGATTCAGGAAAGGTAAATCATGTTCTGACCCAATTGCAACTCTACGCATCACCATCGAACAAAGCATGGAATGGCAATCAAACCTGTACCTCAACTTCATAGACTTTGAGAAGGCCTTCGACAGACAGCGTTGACCACGAAGTAATTTGGAAACTACTCGAGTACTACGGCGTACCCCAAATATTCATCACCCTTATTCAACAGGTGTACGACAATGGCACATGTCAAGTGATCCACAACGGAAAACTCAGCGAGGCGTTTGGAATAAACACAGGAGTCAGACAAGGCTGCCTGCCTATTGTCACCAATAATATTCCTGATATATTGTGGTGGACTGGATTATGCGTCAGACAGTGAGTGAGAAACGAGAAGACAGGGATATCCTGGACCGACGTAAAAAACCTTGAAGACCTGGATTTCGCGCGTGGATGATTTATGTTTGATGTTACACAAAATCGAAGACTTACAAGCGAAAACTGACCGACAAACTGGTCGAAGAAGCAGCCGGCGAAGACAGCACTCCAAGTGAACATAGACAAGACGGAGGTTATGTAAATAACCAACAACAACAGCAGCAAGATCCACCTCTAATCACCATCAACGGGAGGGATTTGAAAGAGGTTGCTTCATTCTCTCACTTATACGGGGAGCAGTCTCTCAACTACACGTAGTCGGAACGCACAAGGATGTCAAATCATGCGAGAATCGGGTGGGAGGCGAGAAACACATTCATCAACCTGAAACCCATCTGGAAATCTTCCTCACTCAGCCAGCATCAACAACAAAATTCGGTCGGATCTTCAATACAAACACGTCAAGTCAGTCAGTTCTTCTATACGGATCAGAAACTTGGCGGGTCGGTCACAAAGAATATTTCCACCAACAGGCTAACTCAGACCTTTATCAACAAACAGCTGTCTTCTCTGGCTCTATACTGAAGATCAGATGGCCGGGCCGGGCCGGAAAGAATCACCAGCTGTTGGAAACTATAGGAACAAACAAACATAACAAGAACCAATCGCCCAACAATTAGGCAGGAGAAAGTGAAGATGTATTGGACACTCGCTAAGGAGGCCGCTGGGTGACATCGCGCGTCAGGCCATTTCTTGAGTGGAACCGGAAACGGCAAGTGGGACGTCAGTGCAAGAGTGACATGGAGGAGATCGTATGAAGAGGAGTTGAAAGGGTATGGACTGACATGGATGCATATGAAAAGTACAGCAGAAGACAGAAGCAAGTGGAGACGTGCAGTTGACGTCGTAATTTCCACTAGGAACCCAAGGGAACAATAATAATAAGTTTGGGATGCGAAACAGAAGTTTCCATGGTAACCAGACTGTGAGTGTAGGGATTTATTTTCATAAACTAATCATACTAATTATTTGGTTCTTTCATATGAAGTGAAGACAGAAGAAAGACAGGGACACTTACTGTCATTTATCCTCTTCCTTATTATGAAATACACTTCTGGGGCGGGGGGAACAGAAGATAGACACAGTTTCGACCAACAAAAAGACTTTAGAATTTCACAAATTAGAGGATGCACAAACGAAAATCAGTAAGCTGGCAAAGAAAACAGAGGTGATGAGAGGATATCCAACCAAAAACAACACTCAGCAATCATCATCATCAGCGATAGAAATCGAAAACAAATCTTCCCTTCGACTTACCTTCACTGAGAAGGTGGAACAGATGAAAATGCCAGGCATGTGACAGACGTCCATTATTATGAAATCACTTTGAAAATCTGATGCACTAGGCATAATGAACTAGTGGCGAATTTTAACCAGTAACGTTAAGTCATAGAGGCAGTGATTCACTTACAAGCGTACAACATGGATGGAGTTGTCAACACCAGCCAGCCAGCCAGAATCGGAAAAGCAAGATACGCCTTCATCAGCCTGAAACTGGTTTGAGAATCTTGTGAACTGATTCAGAATAAAGAACAGGATTCTGACTTTCAACACACAAATGTGAAGTCATCCATTTCTTTTATTCGGTTCAGATACTTGGCGTCCATGCCACGGAGAGCATTTCCAACAGCCAGCTACAGACTTTTATCAACAGTTGCCTTCACTGGCTCCCTACTGGAAGACCCAATGACCAGGCTGCCACCCAGAAAGAATTAGCAACAAGAAACAGTGAAATGGAAGAAATCAACCAAGAGATAATTTCTCAACAAATAAGTAGGAGAAAATCTAGATGAATCAGTCAGCCGTACGTCAAGGACACCGTGTCGAATGACATCGCACACAATACAGGCCAAAGCTTAGGCGAAACCCGGATGTAAAGTGACCCATGCGTTGTTATTGTTGGGGTGGCATTTAGGAGATGGTGTGTTGCGGGGGGTGGAGGAGATGAGAGTTTATGTGCAATCGTACACCCAGCTGAAGAGAACGGCAGAGAATGGGACAAAGTGTAAATGTGTTGTTGAAGCACTATTTTCCACTCTGAATCCAAGAGAATAATAATAATATCGAGTCATGCAGTCTGTCTGTCTGGTCTAGATTCAACATAGAACTTGTCACCGAAGTGCAGCAGTTCGAGTTGCCACGTTCCAAATAGCACACAGAGGTAGACAAGAAGATGAGTGAAGAGAATCAATAGAGTTTGACAAGTATAAGAGTGAAACAGAATGGGTAATGGTAGAAAGGAATATGAAAGATTACAGAGACTGAATACATCTGCGCTGGCCATTGACAACGATTTTGAGCCATGTCACCTATTGTCTCCAGCCATTGATTCCTAGAGTCCCGAGGGCCCCAACCCGGGAGTCTGCATCTCCCTACCTGACTCAGTTTAACTGTCAAGGATTTCATGGATTGATGAGGCCATGTTTTTGTTTGGCCACCACTGGCTCTTTTCCAACCTGAACCTATATCAGCTAGCAATGCCCGTCGGGGGAGGCGGTGGTTAGGCATGCGCAGCACGTGACCTAGCCATCTTAGTCTATGTAACTTTATAGCCTCGTCGATTGATTTTCCCTCTTTGCCCAACACTCTACGCCTAACGTCAACATTACTTATCTTGTGAAACCACCTAACGTGAGACAGAGATCGCAGACATCTATGATCGAAAGCAGTCAACCTTTTCATGTCTTCAACGCGTATTGGCCATGTTTCAGAGCCATAGAGAAGGACGGAGCGAACTGATGAGCAGTACACACGTCCCTTGGTTGATAACCGGATGTCACGCCTACGCCAGAGATGGTGTAAGTCAGCGAAAGCAGCTCGAGCTTTTCGGATCCGTGCTGAGATTTCATCGCCAATCAGTCCGTTGGTGCTAATACAACTTCCCAAGTAGGTGAAGTGGTCAACATGTTCTATCACTTCACTCCCTATCACTAAGTTAGGGGTTGACGTGGTCCAGTCCTGTAGCAGCATCTTACATTTTGCAGGGGCGAATCGCATGCCAAACATACGAAGATTGCTGCTCAAGGTGTTCAGAAGACTCTGCATTTTGTCAGCATCCTCCCCTAACAGGACTATGTCATCTGCATATTCTAAGTCCATTAGATTATTCCCTGGTAACAAGTCGATTCCTAAGTCACTACGTTCAGTTAAGGATACTTCCATTAGCATATCTATGATGAAGTTAAACAGAAATGGGGAAAGTGGACATCCCTGTCGGACACCACTGGTTGTTACCAATTCAGATGACAATTCCCCATAAGCCCTTACACGACTACGTGAGTTTGAATAGAGTGCCTTGATTAGTGCAATGTACTTTCTTGGCACTCCCTTCACAGTCAGACATTGCCATAGTACCTTTCGATCCACGGAGTCGAAGGCCGCCTTCAAGTCAAGAAATATGACAATTGTTGGACGCCGAAAAGTGTGTCTATGTTCTAGAATCTGTCGAAGAGTGAAGATATGATCTATGCACCCTCTACCTGGTCTAAAGCCTGCTTGATTTTCCCTTGTCTGTTCCTCCCGAGTTCTGCTTAGTCTATGCATGATTACTGAGCCTAGGATTTTAGAGACTATGTTCGTTAGGCTGATCCCCCTATGATTATCACACGAGGACTTGTTTCCCTTCTTGAATATCGGTATAATAAGTGACTTACCCCAGTCTGATGGAACTGTCTCTGATTCCCAGACTTTGCCTAGTACCTCAGTTAATCTACAAACTAGTATGTCACCCCCATATTTAAACACCTCCGGAATAATTCCGTCGGGTCCTGCCGCTTTGCCTCGTTTCATGCAGTGCTTCCCGACGGCCAGAGATTCAGTGCGTATATCGTGTTAAACATTTCCAACAGACTATTGCAACCTTCTATCAACAGTTGTCTTCCCTCTATATTGAATATAAAACGCCTGACCAGTAAAGATAAATTATAAGGAGTTGTGACAACGAATCAGCTGACAACCTTTTGGAAAACCGGTGTACAAAGGGGAATGAAGATGAATGGACTAGACTGGTGAGTGATATCCCGCCCTTCAACGAAACCCCCAAAGGAGAAACAGTGAGAGTTGGTCTTCCCAGTATACCAAGCAGGAGATGGTGTGATGAGGGGAGGATAACTTACGGGTTATCTAGGAGCCATCTGGGGAGGACAGCAAAAAGGGGAGATCAAAATGCCAATGTGATACTGAAGACAAAATAATTATGATGGCAGTGATAATAATAATAATAATAATAGTTTCACATTAGTGGTCATAATCTGTTTGTCGAGTCTGTTATGTAAAGAATAAGATTATTTTAGTGTACTGTTGTTTCAGCGTTTCATGTTATGAATCAAGTGACAGGAAGCTATGTATCTAGTGCCTTAGCCTGTTATTCTATGAAATGACAGAAGTCCTTGGTTTGATTGAGAATAAATTCTATCAGTCATTTTTTCAATATGGTCACCATGCTCAATGCCTTGCTATCCTCGTCCACACTAAATTGATTTTAGATGATTGGAGGGAATCTGTAGGAAGCCCACTGACCCAGATTTCGCACTTTTCAGCAAGGCATATCTCCAATCTTCAAGGAAGTCATGTTCCCTATGAGATTCAAGTTCATGTCAATAAGTGTTACAGTTAGAGACGCTATCACTAAGCATGGTAACCACATTGAAATATTGACTGATAGAGTTCAGTCTGGATGAACTCAAGGACTAGTCGTATGACACCGGCGACTACCCAGTGACCAGTAAAAGTATCCATTTCAGTCCGAATAATAATAATAATAATAATTTCCTTTATTCCAAAACAGTATTTGCGAATACAGAATGGAATTCTCAGCATTTTACTACAGTATTGCATCCAGTTAGTACATTAACAATAAATAAAATTCTACATAGATTTAGGGTAATCTCAGTTAGTTTTGACAACAACATAGTGACATGTCGTTAGCAAAGCCAAAATTGAACAGCGTTTGAAGGTGTTAGAAAAGTAGATACTACTGGCATATTTACTGGCGTAAGCAGAAGAGAGAAACAAAGCAGTACATAACAGAGAAAAGAAAAAAGGACGAAGAGAAAAGGAAAGGAAAGAAAGAAAACGTTGTACCTATAAATGATGATATGAGTTGGAAAGACAAGATCCAGTTGTTCTACTGACTATTTAATAAGTTGTAGGTATCACGCCTAATGCTTTCTTTATCGCATAGAACACGAGCCAAGTAGGGTATGGTTGAGTTTTTGTACTTAGTAGTGCAAGCATATAGTTTTCTATATAGGCTTCTGATTATGCCTGATGAGATACATGGGGAGAGTTGTGAATGAAGAGGGTGTTATGAGTCAGATAAATTGGATTTCGCCCATTTTTCACATGAGTCCATGTGCCTGTCCACTGGAATATCAACAAGCTGTTTAATTGGCACGTAGCTTACCCTGCTGACAACCTTTAACACCCTGCGTAATAAGGTATAGTCTTTCTTCAGTAGGTTAGGAACAACTAAGGGGGAACAATATAGAATAATAGGCAGGATGTAACAGTTAACGAATCGTAGGAGTAAGGGTTGGGTTATTCCAGAATGTCTTAACTTCTTGATGTAGTAGGTAAGACGGAATATTTTCTTAGAAATCATCAAGATATGAAACGATCAGGAAAGATCAGCAGATAGAGTGACACCTAGGTATTTAATTTCCGACTTGGTTTCTATTTCTGAGCCATCTATGTTGCACACCTTGTGAATGGTAACCAGTTTGTTTAGGTCAGATTTATGCCTAAAGTTGAAATTGACCGTTTGACAGATCAATGAAAAATTCAAAATAACATAATTCTATATTCAAGTGTTGGTTTGTAGGGATTTGATTGGCTTCAGGATTTCATCATGAGCTGACATTAGTTAGAGAACCATTGGAAAACCTGGGAGTACTGGACAGCTGTTTCGTCCTAGTTTGGGACTCTTCAGCAGTACGCACCCACCGGGATTCGAATCCAGGACCTTCCGGTTACAAGGCGAGCTCGTATACCATTAAGCCACTGGGACCCAATCCAATGGTCCTTGAATTCTAACTTCTGCCAAGTCACAACATAGCGTAACCGCTAGCCAATGTCTTCGGCGAGTATTTGTCCTCACACCCGACCAGCTGCACCCTACTGGTTACGACTTCCCACTGGAACCCAGGTAACTACCTACCTGAATAGGGCCAGTCGCCAGTGAGCATCTCATTGGTATTCAAGTGTTGGTTTGTAGGGATTTGATTGGTTTCAGGATTTCATCATGAGCTGACATTAGTTAGAGAACCATTGGATTTTGTTAGATTTATCACATACAACGAAACTGGATGACGGAGTTAGAAACACAATTTATTATTTGGTTGCAGGATTTCATTATGAGCGGAAATCACTGTTAGAGAACCATTGGAAAACCTACCAGGGAGTACTGGACAGCTGTTTCGTCCATCCTCGTTAGAGTCTCTTTATCAGTACTCATGAACCGCCAGAGTTCGAATCTTGGTCGTTCTGGTTACAAAGCCAGCTCACAGACCATTAAGCCACAGGGCCCCTATCCAATGGCTAGGCCATGAATTCTAACTTCTGACAATTCACGAAGTAGCGCGACCACTAGCCATTGTCTTCGGCGAGTATTCCAATGGTTGTCTAACTAATGTCAGCTCATGATGAAATCCTGAAATAATAAATTGTGTTTAAAACTGTCATTCAGGAAATAGTAATTCTGTTTCGTTGTGTGTGATATATCTAACAAACACTTATATTAATATAGGATTACATTATACCACAGTGCCCAAATTTTTCAGCATGTACTGAAATAACTTGAACGAACACCTAGCAGATTAGACGTGTTCCGCAAGAATTGGTTCTCATTTCCTATTGACCCAATGGATAGTGAATTTCAATAATGAATATGAATGTGCCAGTTTTACTGGATATGCAACAAGTTACTCTGAATATGTGTGTATGTAATTGTGTGTGTGTGTACATACATGTGAATATCATAAGCGCTTGAAATAGATAAGGCTTTGTCATCTAAACCGATGGATTCCACAGGATAATTCTCAGTGGTATTGTGCAATTACATCCAGATGACTGGTAGAGCATTAGAATAAACACCTGTTCTTAGTTTCCACTGTTACGCAATACATAAACTGAATAGCATACGCATTGTTTATTGAAATGTTTCTTTATTTTATAACCTAATGAATTTGTTTAGACAAATGACAAATGTAGAACAAGATCTACTGGATTGGAATCAAGAATTAGATGAAATTGTCAGTGAAGCGAAACATCAATTCGATATTGAATATCAAGAAGCTCAAAGAAAATATGAAGAAGAAATGGAAGTTTATAAGCAGGAGAAAAAGAAACTAGTCAGTTTATAGTTTATGTTGATTTATTAAAAATTATTTATTATTATTAAAAATTAGTTAATTTTCAAGTATTGGTGTAACAACAGAAGACAAGGGCCAGGCAACAGATCGTTTTATTATGAAAATCAATACGTATTTATACATATTTCACATACATTATTATAGCTTATGCAAGTGGACAAACGCAGTTATCTGATTGGTTGTTTATCAGAAGTTAGGCAGACAAACGCAGGCTTCTGATTGGTTGTTTCGGGATTCCTCGACAAATAGAGTTCTCTATCTGCGAATCATATTTTACCACGTTAACTTTGCTGTGATTGGTTGTTGAATCAGCCTTGCTCATTTTTTCTCACGGCCTGCTCTCACCACATTGGTTTTGTAAGGATTTTGTTTGATTGGTTGGGAGATTCCATCAGTGTTACGTAAACACTGAAAAACCTGGGAGTACTGTACAGCTGCTTCGTCCTAGTTTGAGTTTCTTCATCAGTACGCACCCACTGGGGTTAAGACCCGGTGGGTCAATAGTCTACGAGCTTGTCTTGTAACCAGAAGATCCCGGATTCGAAACCTGGTGGGTACGTACTGCTAAAGATTTTCAAACTAGGACGAAACAGTTGTCCAATGCTTTCAGGTTTTCCAATGGTCCTCTAACTGATATTACCTCATGATGAAATCCTCCATCAACAAATTAGTTAACTATATTGTTACATCATCCAGTGTGTTTCAAAAGTCATCAAATATAAATATTGGATTATAGGAATTATTGAAAGGGAGCATGCAGTGAAGAAACTTTTCTTTCCGAGGAATTCCTTAACTAGACTGTACATTTGTGTATTATAATTAAATGTGTGAGATTCTTGTCTATAACCAAACAAAACATCTTTAAAGACCCATGTCGCCAGCAAAAAGTTGCTGATAACTAACCTTGAATGTAAAAGTGATACCGAAGCAGAACTTCTCCGTGGATGCCACCAGTCTACGAGTAACTTTTTCTCCTGCAAGAAATTACTCAACTAGCACGTGAAAAACAAGCTGTGGCATTGAGCCACTTCAATATGCATATACAAGTTCACTTGCTGGTGTGGAGCCGGGTATACATTGGCCATACCACATGTCCGCTTTTAAAACGCTCTTGGGAACGCTATCCAGCATGGTTAGCAAAGGAGTATACAGCTGGATCACAAAACATCTGGTGAATTCTGGAAGTTCAGCTCCATTTGAAAATTCCTTCAAGGTCATATACAAGATTCAATCAAAACTAACAAAACGGAGTGAAATCAAGACATCTTGGAATATCTAGGGAAATGGCGATCCAAAAACTAAAGCGTATTATGTGTGTTCAAAAGAAATACGTCTAACCGTTGTCCCTTCCAATCACCTTTCTCGTCCGAAATTCCCGTTTATTTCTGTTATATTAACGTTTTTAATTCCCATCCGAATTACTACATCCGGTTACTATTTTTTTATTTCCCAACCTTCTACCTATTTTACTAATACTACGTCCTTAATCCGTAATTGTACAAACTGACGAGTTTGTCAGTAAATATTTTCTTATTATTTCCTTTCTCGGCGACCATGGTCCGGGGTTCGATCCCTGGCCGACGCACTCCTCTACCTCGTTAAGCCAGAAATAATACTGGTAAAGAGGGAAGGTTGGGCATTAGGCTAGGAACCCCATCCTGCAAAATAAACACTGCTAACGAAACTTCAAGCCACTAGCTTGAAGCCCCATGTTCCACTGGGGAACGTGAAGGAAAAAATGTCTTTTCTACGCGATCTTCTTGATCATTGCATTTTGAAATTTTATTAGTTTGACCTTTGACCTGAGATATTTCCAAAATAGTGCCCCCACCTATCTTCTGTTTATAACACTTAGTAATTTTATTAATTTAACCTTTGACGGGAAATAATTTTGGAAATTTCTCACACATTTAATCTAGTTACACGAATGTTTCAAGGATGTGAGGAATAATCAAATTGTAACTTGGAGGGGGGTGGTGGTGAAGATTGATTAATATTGACAGGGATTTTGTAATATGAAAAACACCCAGAAAAATAGCATGTTAGTGAGAGAGCATAGAGACAAGTGTCCAAAATATGTTACGTAATAGGCAGAAAGGGTAAATAATAATAATTTTCCCTTCACGTTCCCAGTGGAACATAGGGCTCCAAGCTAGAGGCTTGAAGCTTCTGTAGCAGTGTTTAGTTTTTACAGGATGGGGTTGCTAGCCCCATGCCCAACCTTTCCTGTTTACCGGGATTATTTCTGGTTTAGCGAGGTAAAGGAATGCGTCGGCCGGGGGTCGAACCCCGGACAATGTACATGGTCGGCGAGCGTCCTAACCGCTGTGCCACCGACGCAGAAAGGGTAAATACAAAAGGTAATTTGAGAAAACGATTGGACACTCGCTGAGGAGGCCACTGGGTGACAACACGCGTCAGGCCATCGAGTGGAACCCTTAAGGGAAGTGGTGAATGGGACGTCAATGCAAGGGTGACATGGAGGAGATCGTGTGAAGAGGAGTTGAAAGAGTATGGACTAACATGGATGCAGGTGAAAAGTACAGTGGCAGAAGACATAAGCAAATGGAGACGTGCATTTGAAGCCCTATATTCCACTAGGAACCCAAGGGAGCAATAATATAATATAACACAGCCTATTAAACTTCGTTAGGTTTAGGAGTACATCGATGGATCCCGGGGATAAAGTCCGAAGCCTGGCTCCGCTGATAAATATTCCATCGCTGAAAAGATGATGGATATAGCTGATGATTGCCAAATGATGGAGAGACATTTCGAGGCAGCATTTGTCACTTGGCAGAATCATAGCACAACGGTAGACAGTAAAGTCTAGCTGAAATAATTTTGAATATATATATCCAGTCAGCTTGCACCTTTATTAATCCTGTCATAATCATTTCCTGTTCATTTTAGGATGCAGCGCTTCGAAGACAACGTTTACGTGAATCTGGTCAAACTGATGAATTGGAGGTAAGTTATAGGTTTTGTAAGAATAAGGTTTTGTCTCAGTTTATATCTCATCATACAGTAACACCAGATGCAGAGTCATTGAAAGGCAGTATGTAATAGATAGGTGCTTCGTTCTGGAATAAGACTCTTCAGTGGTGTGCACCCACAATGCAACTAGAGAATTTATCCCAGTAGCTTTAATTTTGGGGTGGCAGATTATCCAACTATTCAATCGTTTGGAGGGGGAATTATACATCTCGTGAATTATAACTTTATCAGTACGTGAATACACAGCAGTTACAAATGAATTACAGTCCAAGTGGCTTAATTGTCAACAGGCTGAACTGGTAGCCTGAAGGTCCTGGGTTCGATCCCTTGTGGAGTCAAGCGTGAACACTGTCGAGGATTTTCAAGATAGGTCGAAATACTTGTCTAGTGCTTTCTGCTTTCCAATGTGTTTCTCTTACTGATGTTGGTTTAACGCCATAATAAGCTGAAAATAATTAAAGACCTCAGTGTGACGTGTGTTACTGATAAGATTTATCAGTAGTATAACAAAATATAAAAAATAAAAATAAAGAGACGTTCATCGGCCCAAAAAGAGAGGAAGTGAACCAAACAGTTTTTCGGAAGAAACATGGGAGACACGAAAAGAAGACAAAGAAACACAATATGGAGGAGGAGGAGGAGGCAGAAGTAGCACATCATGGAAGATCCGTGCAAATGACAATTTTCTTTTGGGAATATTAAGTTCCTAATAAATATTTTAATTTTTTGATTTTTTAATTTTTGATTTTAGTTTGAAACCACATAGTATTTTCGGTACAAGTATAGAATTTTCAAAATATGATATCGGCAGCCCAGATTTCACAGGCCGACCATAGGTATGAGATGTGCGTAAGCAGGGGATCGAACCCCGGACCATATACATGGTCGGCGAGAGTCATAACCACTCTGTACTACAGACGCACATTCTGTTACCAAGTCTCTTGTCTTCTACTGTTACATTCGCTGTCGAAACCTTCAGATACTGAAGATCCTATGGCCTTATGTGGTGAGTGCCACAGACAAAATCTATTAAGAAATATATTAAGAGACGTTCATAGACATTATTGGAGTTCTACGAACAGAGAATGCATTAGATATTAGGCATTAAGGGACAAAAAGCCGAGGACTACAGTTCTAAAAGTGTGTTGTCTGGTAGAGCGATAACATTTTCATCTACGGCACTGGCTGATACGGATTGGAATTTCAGAAATATCGGCAATTGTTCCTTCGTGGTTGCAGATATGCCTTAAACGACGAGTCGGAATAAGCAGGAAGTCAGGGTTTAAGGCGTTTTACTGACTATGGTCAACCAAAAGAAATAATAATAATAATAATAGAAGAGAGTAAATTAACTATATGTAACCATTGTAAACAAAAAGCTCTTAGAATAGCGAAAGTATTAAGCGTCTTGGCAAAAGTAAGTGAAATAAGATACTGATTTCGGTCACCAGAGTTGATAACTTCCTCATGAAAAGTTTTATAATCATGTCATCCGGAGTGTGGAGTTCTTACAAGCTGATTATTGGCCTTAATTATCAACTCCAGACAGTTAAATGTAAAATGTGTCCCACTTCTAATGTGAAGCTACATCAATTGAAATGATTAGAATACTTGTTGTGCGAGCCAAGTCACTGCCTACCTCTTTGAATGATATAAGCTGATGTAGGATCAAGTTAGAAAATAGTTAGATGTAATCGAATTCGAATATGGCATTACTCCATCGAGTGTTTGACTGTTGGTCTGAACCACGTAGGGAACGGGACTTGCACTTACAGCTGGTTATTGCCTTTACAATTATAAACACCTAACAAGGAAACGTTTCTACAGAAAATATTCACCGGTGAATTACAGATTAGCCCATAATCAGAGGATGAAAAGAGGTAAACAGCATTTTGATTGGACACTAGTAACAAGTGTCTAGTCCTTTGTTTGGTGTGGACTGAATTCTATCAGCCAGGTTCGCAATGTGGCCATCATGGCACTAGGTAGCTCGCAAACACGGTGCACATCAATTTGATGATATTAGATGGTTGGAGGCAATCGGCCACAGGAAGCCTTGGACTTAGGGATATGAGTTCCTTTAAGGTTGCAGACACGCCTTGCTGACGAGTGTCAACTAACACGAAACCTAGGTTCAAGGTTTCCTGCCGATTGCCTGCAACCATCTAATATCATCAAATCAATGTGCACCGTGATGGTGAGCTACCTAGAATTGTGGTTCACATTACAAACCTGACTGACAGAATTCAGTCTGCAGCGAAGAAAGGACTAGACACATCACACTAGTTACTAGTGTCCAATCAAAATATTCACTACAGTCCTACAGGAGGCCAACCGCGAGCTTGAATAGCTCAGTGGTAACGTCTCTGACTGCAACAGTGGGTGACGCGGGTTGGAATCTCAGAAGGGAGATGAGTTCCCTCAAGGTTTCAGATACGCCCTACTGATGAGTGCCAACTAGCACGAAACCTTGGACCAAGACTTCCTGCTGATTGCCCCCAGATGTCTAATATAATCAGAAGTAAACAGTGTTTATTTGACAGTGGCTGGCAGAAGAACCCTGGTTGTGCATTCCAATGTTGGCGTTTGATCTGATAGGTGTTGTGATTAAGTCTCTAGAGAGCTCCAAAGAGGACAAAGTATGCATTCTAAATTTCCCTGCAACTCACCGTCCAACAAATAACTTCATATTATTCCGCAAACATCGTCAAAATGCAGCATTCTATGAGCTGACATTGCAATAAAATCTGAGTGTTTCTATCCGACATATATATAACCAATAATGTAGAAACACAACACCAACTTAAACTAATAAAAAGCAGCATTAAAAGGCAACAATTTGATTGGTTGTTCAAGGACATTTACGAGATCATTTGATTCATTTATGATATTTTTGATGTTTATCCTATTTTAATTCCACTTGATTCTTTTCATCTAAGGATAATCCAGATATAGAGCGTGAAGATGCACAAATTCTAGCTAAACAAAAATTACTTGGTCCACCGCCAACAAGTCCTAGACCCTTCGATGCACAGATAGTCAGAGATGAAGCTGAAATCAATTTGAAGAAATGTAGACGGTTGTATAATGAACCAAAGGTGACAGTTAGTCTACTAGAAGATGCCGTGATCTCATCAAATGCTGAATGTCCAAAGTAAGCGGTGTTCAGTTGTTATTCCACCTCCTAATAATAGTCATTTATTTATTTATTTACTGTTGACGTCCGTAGTTCAGCGGTCAAATGTTCGCCAAAGACACATGTCGTCCGAGGTTTGATTCTCAGATGATTCACTCCCAGATCTCGTCTAGTATAACAGTTGATAATGTTAGGATGGACAGGCAATCGGTATTAGCAGTGAATTCATGATTAATGGATACACTGACATTATGACTTAATTACACAATTTTGATTGGTTTATTTATGGCTTGCATTTCCGAGGACTTGTGAACTATATATACCCTGTATTTGAAAAATAATAATAACAATAAGACGTTGTTGCTGTTGCCGATATTGCCACAGGTAAATCTAAAGTTTTTATCTATCTCAGTATGGTGAAGTAAGCAACCTCCTTTACCAACCGACCTGAGAAGCATAGTGTCAACCTACAGGTGGATGGAAATAATGAGGGTATCAAAGCAGCGAGGATCGGGAAAGAAAGGCAATCTTTCATTACTCCCATCAAGTCTGTGTAGAGATCAACAGTACTCATCATGAAAAATAAGATCTTGGTGAAGTCAGTGCTACTCACTATATGGATCAAAGTCTTGGCACCGCGTCATGAAGGCCACTTTGAACAAACTACAGACATTCATCAACATCTGTCTTCGCTCAGTACTACTCAAGATCAGATGGCCGGCCAGAAAAGATCACCAACATGGAAGGATCGGTGGGAATGATGAACCAACCCGGTAGGAACCGATTGTGCAACAAATATGCAGGAAAAATGAATGTGGATTGGCCATATTCTGAGAAAACAAACCATCAAATGAATGACATCAAACGCCAGGCCATTGCTCGAATGGAACCAGATTGGGAAGAGGCAAGCCAGTTGGTCGTCAGTGTTAGGGTGATATACAGGAGGTCATGTGCAGAGGAGGAGTTGAAAGCATGTGGGCAAACGTGGAGCCAGATAAAAACTTTAGCGGAGAAGCGAACGCAATGGGAACGTGCGGCTGAAGGCATACATTCCTCTAGGAACTGAAAGAAACAATAATAGTCAGTGCGGTGAAAACTTTCAATTATTCAGTTGGTTATAGTGCCATGTCTGAAGCCGTATTCTAGTCAACTTAAACGACAGCCACAAATCAGTAACACTGCGTCCTAACAGATAGAAGCCCACAAAACAGGATAGAAGGTGGGGTAAATAAAGTTTGCAGTCTCACATTGTAGAATGGAACAACACTTCATTTACCGAAACCTGAAGGCTTCAAGCATGAGGAAACAGTGCCTATTTCATGACCGAGCACCTACTTCAAAACGCTAGTTGATTGATCGAAAGTATTGTAAAACTAAAATAAAAATCACTATGAAATACTTAGTGAGGCTAAACTTTAGACATTATTCAGACGCAGACTTATCGATGACCTTGGAATAAATAGTCAGAGCACGGTAGTCATTGTACGTTAATAACAGCGATTTCTGGAAAAGAGTTTTAAACGATATCTAGTCAGTTTTTGGGTTAGGTTCTGGGCTAGGGACACGGTAGTATTACTTGACCTCAATCTAGTGAAGGAGTTAATATGGAAGGCGTATCTGAGATTCTATGAGTATCTAGCAAAATGTTTGTCTCAGGGAAACAAAGGCTATTGCCAAACAGCTTGTTAATATGAGTCATGAGATGGACAACGTAATATCATCCAAGATAATTCAGAAAAAACTACAACTCAACTCTCCTCAAATTTAGTTAAACAGTCTCTGCTAGACGTTTGTGTTCATAAAGATACACTTATTAGTCTTTATTTTGCTATGGTGGCTCAGCATCTATTCTCTTCATCTCAACCGACTATGTAATGCTTTGCTTTAAGTCACCTCCATAATATTTGCCTTAGTATATTTTGATGTGGTTGTGTTCTCTGAGCTGGATAGTTAATTTGCGAAGCTTTCATTATCACCCAACTAGGTGACATCTTCAGCGCATACTTCAATTTGAAGTAAGCGTTTAGATTTCTCCACGAGTTTATCAATCATCTCTCCTGGTGAATTACCTTGAACGTGATTGGTTGTTTTTGTGTGTTTTCACACCCTCTAGGCGGCTGCTTGTATTGGAATTGATTGTTTCCTTGACTTGAACTTTGACCCTTTGTGTGTGAGGTTTCCTTCTCATCGGTTGATAAATTTTGTCTATCTCGATGTGTCTATTGATTGATGATTCACTGGAATATCAGTCAGGCTTCGAAAATTTCTCTAGCACTCTTGTTGCTTCCTCTGTCTAATATTTGAACACCGGTTGTCCCAGTCGAATTGATGTCCGTGGTTGTCTGTATGTAGTGATATGAGGGAGTGGATATCATGTCTTTTGACGGCTAGATTATGTTTGTGAATACGAAGACGAAGGGGACGTCCACTTTGGCGAATGTAGTGTTTTTCTCACTTGTTACAATTTATTTTGTAGATGACATTGTTTTTATCTTCTTCCGTCGTTGAGTCTTTTGGTTGACATAGAACTGAGTGAAGTGACTTTGTTAGTTTGTGTACGACGTCAGTTCCTAGAGGTCGGAAGAGCCTTGTAGTGTTTTATAAAATATCCTTTATATATGGCAAGTCGATTTTTTTGTGCTTCCTTTGGAAGCCTCTGATTTTGTGGGTTGGTTCGCTTGGGTATATGTCTTTTGATGAAGTTCAGTGGATATCGATTCTTTTGGAAGACGTCCATGAGATATGTTTTTTTCAATTTTCCTTAAGGTGAGAGTGCTGCAATGAGTCCTTGCCCTCTTGAATAGTGTTCGTATGCAATTCCTACTGTGTGTTATTGGATTGTTGATGTTGTAATTCAGGATTTGGTCTGTGTGGGTCGGTTTTCTATAAACTTGAGTTTCTAATTCCCCTGTGGTTGTTCGCTTGACTAAGATGTCCAAAGATGAGATTTCGCTCCAGGATTCCCCTTCTCTTGTTAATTTGATGTCGTTGTTAACGTTTTTTTTTATTAATTTGTGAGTTTTATCTAACTCATTTCTTTTGATTACTACAAATGTGTCGTCGACGTCGCGTATCCAAATCTTGGGTTTGATCTTTGGTAGAATCATGTTTTCAAGTCTTTGCATCACTGCTTCTGCAATCAGACCTGATATTTGCTATCCCATGGGTGTTCCTTTGACTTGTTCATATATTTGGCCGTTGAATTGGAAGTATGTTGTTAGGCATAGGTTTATGCATTCCATCCAGCTTGTGTATTCCATTTGTAATTGTTGTGGAAGATGTTTGTCGTTGCTAAGTAATTGCTCCATGGTCTCTTTTGCTAGGTTTGTCCGATTGAAGTATATATTATGCCGTGACATGGAAGGATATCATTGTTTCTTGTTCATCTATTTGGATGGCTCTGATTTTTTTTGTAGGAATCGGATAGCAGATTTGATGGAGTGATCACAAGATTCCGTTAAGTGTTTTAGTTTTTCTGTATAATTCTTTGGATAAATTATATGTTGGAGTTCCTGGGAGTGCCTCAGCTTAACTCACTAAACTACAACGAACCATAAACTTCTCTCATCTTGTCTTCATCGTGCAGCTTAATTTTGAGTGTATCTGACCATTAATTTTGCATTTGTGTATTTTGTGTGACCCTCAACCTCTTCCATAAGTTTCATATAAGTGAAACTCCTCAACACTGTCCATTGACATGTGTCTCTGTCAACAAAAATCATGTTGAACCCCATGCAAGTATGACAGAATTCTGTGTATATTTACATAATCAAATTTTCAATTGTATAGCAGCTGAAGAGAATCCGACGAGATAAATGATGGACACATATTTTTATAATACAGAAAAAAAACTGCTTCTGCTTTGTTTAACTTCATAAAGGGGGATAAGTTTATGGTCGGAAGGAGATAGATTATTTATTTAAGTGTTGGTTTGTAGGGATTTGATTGATTGGTTACACGATTTCATCATGAGTTGGCATTGGTTAGAGGAGCATTGGGAAACGAACCAGGAAGTACTGAACAGCCAGCTGTTTCTTTCTAGTTTGGGGCTCTTCAGCGGTACGCACCCACCACCAGCGTTCGAACACAGGACCTTCTGGTTACAAGGCTAGCGAGCTCACAGACCATTAAGCCACTGGGACCCGATACAATAGCCAGCCCATGAATTCTAACTCATGCCAATTCACGACTTAGCGCGACCTCTAACCAATGTCTTCAGTAGGTATTTATCCTCACACCGGACCTCTAGATTACAGTATAGTTACGAGGAGAACAGGTTTAAGTTACGTATAAGTTAAGGTATGTGACTGGGATTAAGGTTAAGTTATGGGTCCGAAGTTACTATTTAACTTAGTTGCTAAATTCCAATATGAAAACTACTCATTTGATTTATATGCAAAATTTATGAATAATCCCCATCCAGGCATTATGGAAAACAAAACATGTAGTTCAGCGAAGAGTCTCTTTTAGCTGGTGAATTCATTTCCATAGATGTACAATGGGTTATTTTGTATGCAATCGTTTATGGTTATTTTAACTAAAGGAGGGTGAGAATTAGTAAGTTTTGGGTAGAGTTACGTAATACAAAAACTGTCGACAAAATTAGTTGTTAATGAAACTAGTGTAGTAACAAAAGTGATGAGTTTTCACAAACAATTGTTAAAAAAGGAGTTGCGTACTGTTATGAATAGTTTGCTGATTGATTTGTACTTAGGATAGGCAACACTAGGCAACTCTTTAGACTCATCAGGGAAACGGGTGGGAGAAGGCAAATCATAAGTGAGACTATTTCTGAGAAAAATGGCTCCTTAATTAGCTCTCAGGATAGACGCCTTGAACGCTGGAAAGAACACTTTGAGGACAATTTAACTTGCCTACAGCCACACTGAACCTCCCCGACATCCACCACACACCCGAATGGGATATAGACACTGGTCCGCCGTCTGTAAGTGAGGTCACAAAAGCTATCAGTAATTTGAAACGAGGCAAAGCGGCAGGACCCGACGGAATTATTCCGG